AATATTGCCACGAGCTTTCTATGAAAAATTGACGAAAGTTTTGTAACAAACAATACATAAAAAATATCTACTTTTTATAAATTTGATTTTAAATTGAAAATTTTAAAAATCCCAAAGACTTTGTTTGTCAAAAATAAAAAAAAAACAAAAATTTCCCTCCAACGATAAAGAATTTTCCTCAAGTTAAGAATAATTATTTACATGCTCAAGTGTTTAAAAGTTATTGAGCAAGTCAACTCGCCTTATATACACGATTGCATCGAAACCTGTTGCCCTTTAAATCTAGTAGTCAATCTCCATCATTGTTGAGTGTGCGTGAATATCGGTGTGGGCTATTCACTCTTCTCGCGTTTATATGTAGAAGAGATGAAAAGTCGACAAGGATAACATAACGCGACATTTATAATACAGAGAATCACTCTTCCCCCCCCCACTCCCTCCTCTAATGCTAATTAGAAAATGTAGTCTATAATTTAGCGTAAAAAGAAAAAGAAGAAACCCCCCATAACTTCTAATTCAAAGAGTTTAAAATGAGAAAGAAGAGAAAAAAAAATGTCCAATACACGATTCAAAGATCAAACATTATTGCAATCGTTATTTTGTGAAACAAGCAATAAAGATCGCAACAAATCCCGAGCAGATTCACCGTGAGAGAGTAAAAGTTTTCAGCTCTTTAAAAGCATTTATAAATGATTCATTCAACGTTTATTCCGGCATCAAGTTACATTTCGTTAGATTTCGCAACATTCATGAGGAGGTCTCGCTTTTGCTAAAAATGTAATTTATTAGAGAGTTCTTTTTTTCTTTTTTTTTTTTGTATCACGGTTAATCGCTATTAAATTATGGACATTAATCATTGTCAGGTTAAATACTCCTGAAGAATTGGACAATTCACCTGAATGTTGAATTTCAGAAAAAAAATTAAAAAGATCCATGAATGAAATTAATTTATAATGCAATAACAACATTATGAATGAAATTGAGTAGAATAAATTCTATAATATATTTATTACGATTTAGAGATTAGAGTACATTCAATTACTGATATTTTTGAAAATAACGGATTTTAACTTAGTTTTTAATATTTTTTTTTATTTTTAAAATTTCTCTGAAAATTTTAAAGTCAATTTTTGATTCTAAAATTTCTTTTTTAGCTCTTTTTTATAAATAAACCATTTCACTCTGGATTCCTTTTAATTTTCGAGCGCGCGCCACTGTTGCCAAAAAATAGGCGCGAAATTTAAATCGAATTCAAAGTCAAGTTTAAATTTTTCTATAATTGCATTTATCCGTTTGTCTTTTTTTTATTTCCGGTATGATTTCTACCTCTAGAAACTGATTAACTTTCCAAATAATTATTTCACAAATTATCAAAATAATATTATTAATTTCGAGATAATTTCACACGCGGTGAAAATGAAATGATCCCATGAAAGCAATTTTAGTATTATAAACCCAAAAATGAAAAAAAAAAATTGGTCTTTATTGTGTTGCGCAAGAATTATTAGTACTGGCTACAAAGTGATAAAGACTATTATTAGAAATTATCTCTCAATCGTTCCTTTATAATAGTATTAAATCTCACTGTTGTAATTGAGTAATTGTATTTCATTAATTATATTTTGATCAATCATTTTATAATTTCTGTAATTTTTTTTCCCATCTATTTATAAAGAGGTGTGAAAGAAAGAATGGAAAAAAAATGAAACTATCCAAATGGAGGAATAAAAAATTCTTTAGGCTATTAACTAAAATCTAGTGAGCTGTGAAGAATGAATTACATGAAAGTTCTTTGGATGAGGAATAATTTTACATAATTTATGCACAATGTGTAACTAAAATATAGAGTTACATAATGAATATCATCTTTGAATTGATAGTAAATGAAAGTGAGACATTTTCTCGCTGTTTTCTTATAATTACATCACTGCTGCAATTTCTTCTTCTACTTCTTCTTTTTTTTCGTTTTTTTCCCTTTATCTTCTTTTCCACTTTCTTCTTCTTTTTTTTCTCTTTTTCTTCTTCTTTTCCACTTTCTTCTTCTTTTTTCTTTCTCTTTCTTCTTCTTCTCTTTCTTCTTTCTTTTCTTCTTCTTCTTTTTCTCTTTCTTCTTTTTCTTCTTTTTTTCTTTTTTCTTTTCCTTATTCATAAAAATCAATATCACGTCTATAAATAATTTATTTTAAAACAAATTTTCATTTTACGATAATTTAAAAAAAAAAAGAAAAAAGTTAATACATATTTTAATGAAGAAAAGGAATGAAGAAAAATGCTAAAAAGATTACGTTTGGCTGATTGTAAAATAACAATGCGATTGCTTCTCTCTTTGAGAAGCTCATAAAGTCACAATTAATGGCGATGAATGACTTTCGATTATCTGCACGTAGAAGTGCTTCAGTCACAACAATATATAGTACCATCGCATTTTACGCCAAAAGCTGTCGATATACTAATTACTTATTGCAAAATTCCCTCTAATGCTCCTGCTGTAAATTTCTGTTTTTTCATTTCAGTGATTGTTATCTGATAAAAGATTCAAATTCAGACGTAATAGTAAATTTACAGTCATCTGATAAATTCTTGACGAAGAAAAGAAATTATTATCTTCAATGTTTTTTTTTTTTTTTTTTTTTTTTCAAAGAGAGAAAAGAAAAAAAACACTTGCAACTCAATCAATAAGCACACGTTTGCCTACAACTGTGATTGAGCGTAAATTTTGTCGAATTCAGACAGGAAGCATAATTAAAAATTGATTCTAATCATTGTCCTTCGAATTGAGAGATAGATTATTTTTTAGAAGTTTATGTGAAAATTATCAGATGTTGTAAATGTTTATTTTTTATTTGTTATTTTATTATTTATTATTATTATTATTATTATTATTATTTATCATTATTATTTTATCATTTATTTGTGGTTTTAATTAAAAATGCTGTTATCCCAGTTTTGAATTTCGCGCCATTTCTAACTGGCTACTTTTAAACGGTTGGTACACCTGCTGTATTTTAAGGGGAAATCCCTGATTATGCTGATATGTAATTCTGAAAAATTTTTAGATCAAAAATAAATTTTTTTTTATTAAATTTTCAAATAAATATTTAATCAATTTTTTTTTATGTTTTGAACTAAAATTTCGCTATAAATTCATGATTTTTTTTTTAAAGAAAAAAATTATTTTCAATGAAAGAAAAACGAGTCTAAGAAACTGATTTCTTTAAATTAAACAAAAACTTTTTTTTCTGTTTGTATTTTGTTTTTCTTTTTTAATTTGATCATCATCTTAGCATATGTAATTCAAATTTAGTTAGCATTTAAGGAAACAAATTCTTAATTTCAAAATTAATTACAATCAATTATTAGAAGGATATATATTTTTTTTTTATAAATATCATTATTATTCAACAATATAAATTTATAATTGCCCCTAATTAGTAATTACAAACGAAGTTTATTTTATAAGTCAATGATAAAAATACATTTCGCTTGTCATTATTAAAAAAAAAAAAAAAAAAAAAAAAAAAAAAAAAAAAATTCTTTTATTTCATGATTTAAATTCTTTTTTCACATAAAATTAATTGATTTCTGATGAAATAATTAATATTTCTGACGAAAGGAATTATTAGTCATTTTTTATCATTATGAAATTATTATAATTCCCTTATTTCAGATAATAAAAGTTTATTTCTATCGAAAAAAATCTATGACTAAATAAGATTTGCGACTTTAAGTATGTAGGTGTATAAAATATATTCTTATTATTTTTTTTCTTGACTAATCTATGACTAAATAAAATTTGCGATTATATATATATTTATATACATCCTATACTATATATATATGTATATAATTTTATATAATATATTCTTTTTTTCTGTTTTATATTTTTATTTTTTTAATAATATGTTTTTTTAATTTTTTTATATTATATAGATCCTATCCAATGTATATGATTATATATAATTTTTTTTTCTTTTTATAATAAAATATAAAAAAATAAAAATTTGGTTGTACGTTTGCATATTGGTATATGCACACATGAACATATTATTAATCAGTTGTAATTAACATTAAAGAATTAAAAAGCAAAAAAAAAAAAAAACTAAGTGATGATGAAAAGTAAAGATGTTAGCCAACTTCACATGATTCAAATTAATTGCTCTTGTTCGTTCACATTGTGAGCTTTCAACTCTGACGTTTTCAGGCGCGTTAGAAGTTTTAATTCATTGCTATAAACTTTCCTTCCGCAATCTTTACCAATGTGTCTGTATGTGAGTGTGAGTTTACTTTTATATGTATATGTGCGCACGCACTTAATTTGCTTTATAGTTCCGCGAACATAATTCCCGTGTTTCAGAATATTCATGAAGTGTCAATGAAGGTTGGTTTTAACGTTTATTTATGTATTTTTCTACCTTTCGTGCAAAAAAAAAGAAAGAAATACAGTGAAATAAAAGCACTGTTATTTCTAATTACTGCGCTATTAAAAATGACACTTCTTTTTTTTTTAAATAATAATTATGTATCCTATCTATTAATGTCATAAAATCAAACAGGAAAAACTATTTCTAATTTTTTAAGTATAATTATATTGTAAATTCAGGGTCTTATTTAATTGTTTTTTCAATTTAATTAATTAGTTTTAATTACCTTTCGTTATTAACCATCGTTAGGAGGATTTATATTATGCGGGGTACAGTGAAACCTGTCTCGATTTTTTAAATTTATTACTGTAAATTAATAAACAATGCTTTAAAAATTGTTTGATTATTTAATTTTGTAATATTTTTGCAATAATTCTGGTAATTGAGGGATAATTTTTGTTGGGTGTTTTTGATTTTGCGAAAATTTTTTTTTTTAAATAGAGTTGCATTCAGACATGTTCGACTGTAATCTAGTGCTAAGAGGTTGGATACTATACAATTTTATTTATAAATTTAATTTTTTTACTGTTTTAGCGATGTGGCGCAGCCAATCAGGAATTTTTCTTCACAAGATGATTCGCGTCACTTTCCTCCTATTCGTGGTCGTTCAACTGTTTACACGATGCTACGGAGTGAGTTTATATTTTTTATTATTCCTAGTTTTTTTTAAATAGAATAATAAATTAATTATTTTTATAAAATTATTTATGAAAATAATTAAATGTTTACGTATAATTTTATTAATTTTTTTTTAAATAAAAAAATACATAGGTAATAAAAAAAAATTTTTAAATAAATTTTTAAATAAATAATAATTAAATCGGTTATTCTGTTCATTTAAGTATTTTTTTTAGTCTTTTTAAGAAAAAGTTTAAAAAATTTGTAAATTCTATTATTTTTAAAATTGCTAATTTTATTGAAAAAAGTAAGTAAAAAGTTAGTTACTAGTATATTATAATTGTGAATATTGATTTTTGGAAGATGGGTAATTATTTTCTTATTTTCATTTTTAATTTTATTTTTAATTTTATTTTAATTTTTTTTTATTTAAATTTTTTTTTATTTTTAATTCTATTATTTTTATTATTCGAGAGTGAGTGCCCATGAACTTTCAAACAGTCCTTCGCTTAGTTCATTCGTAATTGATACGAACGCGCGGCTTGATCTTATTTGGAATCAAAGCATTGAACCTTCTTATGTAAATTACTTTGTAATTAGGAAGTAACTCGAATAATCACTATGTTTCTGCTTGAATATCAAAGCCACTTCCGTAAATTACTATATAGACAGATCATTCGCGCTCATCCGAGCGTTTCACTGCTAACAACTAACGCTCCTTAAGTACCACAATGAAAAAAAAAATTATATATATATATTTTGTTGAAATAGAAAATAAAACGGAAATGTTCATTTAAAGATTAAAAAAAAAGAAAAGATAAATAGAAATTCAAAAAGAATTTTTATCGCATTTATCATTTAATTTGACGTTTTGAATTTCTACCGTAAATTACAAAGAATATATTTTCAATATTAATGATTAAATAATTATCAAACAAAATTAATGTATTTTTAAGTTTTTAATTTTCAATCTAAAATTGGTAGTTGATATTCTTTTGTTTTTGAAAACTTTTTTTTGTAATTGTAATTTGGGGGATATTTTCCAAAAAAACATTTTCTTTTTTTTAAATTAACAGGAGTTGATCTCAAAAATTGGATTTTTAATTTAAAAAAAAATTTAATTAATTAATTAGTAAAATAGTTTTTGCGATATCTCTCTAATAAAACGCAGTAGAGTTTGTATAATACTTTTGCGGTGTTATTAATAAAGATATGAAATAATTTTATTCCTATGAAAATTAATACGAATTTGCCTCTTATCTTTGAAATTTTCAGTTACGCGTATTTTAAATTATCCAGTTATAAAAAACTAAATATCAACCATTCGATAATTGATTTAAATAAATTTGTTCTATTTAGATAACGATTTATGCTTATACAAATAATATTTAACTTTTTTTTCTCTTTCTTAAGCATGAAATTTAAAGATTTCGAATCATTTTCCGTGAAATGTTTTCTTTCGATTTTCACCACTATTATTATTTTCTATATTTTATGATTAAAAATTAAGTTAAAAATTTAAGATTATAAGAATTTGAAAATTAAAATTATATAACTAAGAAGTAAATCTAAATTGAAACTAAATAACGATTTTTATATTCTTTTTCTAAAATTTAAATTTCAACTTAATAAATTTTAAGTTTAAGCTAAAGAGTAAAAGTTTGTGAAGGACCCTTATCAATTTTTAATTTTTATATTTTTTATAGTGTTTCAACATTACAATAAAATAAATAAATTGAAATTGAAAATAAATTGAGAGTCATAAAAAGGAATGTAGTATGTACTAAATTTAAAATTAAATTCTATGCAGTATTATGTGATAAATATAATTTTGTTGAAATGTATATGAGATTTAATATCATCAAGACTATTATATATATATATACAAGTGTGTATAAAAATATATTAGCGGGAAAGTGTTTCTTATGGATGAAATTTTGTGTTGCAAACAAACTTTTAATGGAAATTGGATATTTGGTGAAACCATAAGGGATCGATGTAAAAGCAGGAAATAAGTATAATTTCCAATCATTATGATATAAATGCAACTTGCTTTAGTCTATAGGACTACTCTTAATGGCCTGTCAGTCCATATTCGAATGGTCCATGCCAGTCAATATTATACTTCTTTGCTTATTTGAAACTATCTCATAGGATGTTTTCCTTCCTGATTCGCGTTTCGAAACCTAATAACTATAAATTAAAAAGATAAAATGATCGCGCAGAGTTTAAGGAATACTGCTTCAAAAATTTATTTATCGGCCAGTTGTGTAATTTTATTACAACTTTCATTTTCATTTTCACTTTATTTTTACTTTAATAACTGATTTTCATTTTCATTTTCATTTTCATTTTTACTTTATGTTTAAATTATTAACCATTTGCAGGGCTCGAACTAGGTCTGTAAATACTGTAAAGGTTCGTAAATTTGTTTCAAGTCAGTGAAAGTCAGTTTAAAAAAAAAAACCCTTAATTTGATTGAAAAAGGAAGAAAAGTTTGTAAATTGTACGATATAATTTGGAAAATTTTAGATAAATTACAAATGATTGCAGAAATTCAATTATTTTTAAAAGGAATAAAATTCTTCGCCAAAATTTAATTATGTTGAAAATTTTTTGAAAATTCTCTTTAAAATTTCAATTATCTTTAGAAATAATAAAATTCTTGGCAAAATTTAAATTATTTTCAAAAATTTTCTAAAAGATTTCAATTATTTAAAAAAGTTTTTAATAAAATTCTACGCAAACATTTAATTATTTTCAAAAAATAAAAAAATTCCTCAGGAATTCAATTATTTACAATTTTTTTAAAAAATTTCTAAGCAACATACTTTAATTATTTTCATAAATAATTTACGATTTGTGAATCGAATCGAATTTCTCGGAAAATGTAATTATTTAACCAATTAAATTATTTTATTTTCAAATATAATACATTTTTTTATGGGAATTCAATTATTTAAAAGAATTGAAATAAAATTCTTCACAAGAAATTAATTATTTTCATAAATAATATTTTTCTCCGGAATTCAATTATTTAAAAAAATTTTTAATAAAATTCGTTGCAGGAATTTAATTATTTTCATAAATAACAAAATTTATCGTAGAATTGAAATCATTTTTTATAGAATTTAAAAACAAAATTATAAGAAAATTGCATTGATTCTTAAAATGTTTTTTAAAATTCGCTGGAAAAATTCAATTATTTTAAAAAGTTTTCATAAAATTTTTTTATAAAAATTCAATTTTAAGAAATATTTAATTATTTAATAAATTATTTGCAGTCCAATAGGCAAAGAACTGTGAAAACCAAGGAGGGGGGGTACACACTTTTTAAAAAAAAAATTTCTAGTTTTTCGCAAAAAAAATGTGAGCGCTAATGGGGGGGAGGGGTGCGATTTTGATTTTCAATTTCAATTTTCTTTAATTTCAATTGAAGTTAAAATCAAAATATAAGTGAAAATGAAAGTGAAATGCAAAAATGGAACTGAAAATGAAAGTCAAAGTTAAAATGAAATTGAAAATGAAAGTGAAAGTCAAAATGGAACCAAAAAAGAAAGTGAGAGTTACAGCGAAATTACATAATCGACCCCCTGACTAGTATTTTAGTTCGGATTTAAAATAAAAATTTAATATTAAATAAAATTTTATAGTCTCACACATTACGACAATCTTAATTTATAAAATCTGTTTCATTTATTTGAATTGCAAAAATAAAAATAAAATAAAAATTGTGAAAGTAACTGTCGAGAAAGCAATAAACGACCTTAAGGTTCGAAAAAATAGTAAATCTCTAAAAAAAAAAAAAAAAAATTACAACAGTCTGAGACATTTTTAAATTCACACGCTATGTATATTACTCATTAATTATGTAATGAAAGTGATAAACGAGGAAATTACAATAAAATAGTGCAAATGAGATTTGAAATTACGTTTTCTAAAGAGTAAAGACTTTTCTTCTACAGTATGGTTTAAATTGCACATTAATATTTTACTTTACAATTTAAATGAAAATAAAAATAAATGCGGTTTATAACAAATAAATTACTCAATATCCACTTTCAATTTGTTTATTTATGTTATAATAGAAATCGACTTTTTTTTCACACTTGAAAATAATTTTATATTTATAAACATTAAAGTATTAAGAAATTATAAATTAGATTTTGCACTTTAAAATTGGATAACACTTTACTCTTATTGTTTAGAATACATAACCGGTTATGCATGATTTCCTTTGAACCGTAAAATGAATCTTTTATATTCGAAAAACACTAAATGTCAAACAATTTACAATGTAATGATTACATTACTTTATTGAGTGAAAAGAAAATATATAGTTAAGTCTCTCTCCGCATCCCTTCTCCAATCGGGATTTCTTTTTTTTAGCAGCACCATATTAGACTTTTCGCTATATAAAACGCGACCCGCAAGTATTTCAGCCACAGAGAATAATCTGTTTAAATCCTAAGTAGACAGCTGTTACGAATGACTTTCAGCTTAACTAACTAGAATTGAAAACCGCTTTGTCAAATTATAATTTAAAATTTTTCTCCGACTTGCAAATGATCGTGAATGAGAAAAAAAAGTCGATGAATTTTTCTTCGATGATGAATAAAAAAAGTTACATTATATTTTCTTTTTTTTTGAAATACGGTCAAGTGACCATATGTTAAAATTTAAAAGTGAAGAATTTAGTTTATTAGACTTGTTTGTTGCTTGCGGTGTGACAAGAGTAAATTTGCCCCGTCAATGTAACTTTGCTGCAAATTGTTAACATTGTCAGAGGAGGTAAATCGGATATACGGGCATCCCAGTGATGAAACTTTCTCAGAGAACTGTTGGTCAATGCCTCCATAATGGCCGCGAATCGTGTAACTACACTTCCACAATGTATACACGGTTTTATAATGTTGGCGAAACCAGAATTTAAGCAATAGGCTCTCCTTTTTACGAGTTAACTATTGTTTCTCAAGTGAAATCAAATAAAATGACAAAATGCTTCCAAACCCCCCTTCCCCCCCCCTTCCATCCTTCTGCTCTAGAAAGAGGAAAACAAGGATCCACATTCGCGAATTACATTATACAAACGTATCTGTAATATCTTTGCCACACACAATTTAGCATACAATTTACGCGCACGAGATTTATTTTTATACTCAGTTTAAGTCAAGATAGCATGAAGTTTTTTTTTTAAAAGTTTTTAAAAAGTTTTTAAAAAGTTTTTAAAAAGAAAAAAATGTAATAATAAAAATAAAATTCAATATATAAACTGAAATCTATAGTGAATCTAAAATCATTGACTAAATTTTTACTATACACTTCGTTTTTAAGGGTTTTTCAAGGCCTGTTTATGAATTTCGATCAAAATTCAAAATGGCGGCTTCAATATGGCAGACAAAAAGTAAAAATCAATCGGATTTGATTGAAACTTATTACTTCAGGGTTTTTAGAGTTGATAATTATGAATATAACGTCTGATTTTTGAAATTAAAAATATGGCAGACAAAAATTTTTTTTTAAAAAGTAGGTATTATTGTAACAAATTTTTTTTTAATTTTAATTTTCTATAATTTAAAAAAAATTAAATTTTTTTTTTATTAAAAAAGTAGCTATACAATAAATTTTTTTTTTGTCGTTACTATAAATCATAAATTAAACGAATTTAGAGAAATTACAAATAATTGCAGAAATTCAATTATTTTTAAAAGTAATAAAATTCTTCGCAGAAATTTAAATATGTTTCAAAATTAAAACAAATTTTCAAATTAAAAGCAATATAGCGTAAATTTTTAGAAATAATTAAATTTTGAAATTAATTTTTCTGAAAAATTTTAATTGGATTTTTTTTTTATTTTATTTGAAGTTTTTATTTTTCTAATATATATATATATATATATATATTTCATTGAAGAAATTACGAATAATTGAAATTTGAAAAATTGAATATTGTAAACAAATGGATTTGAAAATTGTCAGAGAACTTTTTCGAAAATTAATTGATTTAAAGAAGAATTTTAATTAAAAATTCTTGAAAATAATAATTCAATAATAAATTATGAAAATAATTTTGAAGAAGTACAATATTCTTATAATTAGTTATTAACTACGATTTTAATAATAATAATAATAATAATAATAATAATAATAATAATAATAATAATAATAATAATAATAATAAACCATATAAATCATAGTTTTTCTAAAAATTTTAAATTGAGGCAAAAAAAGTATAAAAAATGTTAATAAAGGGCAAATTAGGTCGTTGCACTAATATGATATTATAAATCTATTAAAATTTTCCTTGTTTCTTAATTCGTATTTTTTTTAAGTAAAAAATAAATAAATTCATAATTCGTGAAAGTGATATACTTTAATTTAAAGTGTAAGTTTCTAAAAATAAGCAGAAACATTTTTTAAAAATTTGTATGAAGAATTTTGTTTTTTTTTTCATAGCAGGAAGAAAATACAATATACCATTTACGAGGGAAAAAAGGGAGATACAATTTCTTCTTTTTCAATTTTTTTCTCGTCTCTAATCGTAATAACGTCAAATTACATGAAAATTTCCGTTTTAGATGTGGCACTTTATCTGAACAACTTTCGCTAATACTTGGGTGTGAAACATAGAGAACATGTCCTTGAGATTAGTTTTGTAGTCTTCGATTTTTTCCATTTTGTATAAAATTAATTTTATTTATTTATTTAATTATTTATTTATTTATTTAGTTATTTATCTACTTTTTTATTTAATTTTTTATTTAATTTTTAATTTTTTGATTTACGTTTTTGTTTATTTTATTTATTTTCGGTTTTATTTGATTTATTAATTCTATTTAAACAATGAATAATCATTTTTTGAGAATTTCAATTTTTTTCTGATCTGTGGAACAATTGATTTTTCAGATCCATCAACATATGACGAGGGAGGAGCTGATGTCGGTGTTCCAGACGGACCACGAATCCGGTAATGAAAAGTAAAAAGAACTGTTTATCACCACTGCAGACGTTCAGGCGCTGATTTCTTCTTCTTTTTTTTTTAAAAACTTTTTCTTCTTCTCTTCTCTTGTCTTTTCTTTACTTTAATTATAATACATTTTCGAGCTTTTGTGCACATTTGATCGCTGAACTGTTTATTTTTACTTCCGTATTGTTATTATTTATTCTTTTTATTATTATTTCTTACTTTTATTTCTTACTTTTATTTCTTACTTTTATTTCATACTTTCATTTAATTCCTTTTCTTTATGTTTTGTTTTACTGTAATAAAAATTATTTACAATTTTTCTACAAAAATTTAGAATTGTTAGAATTAAATTACTTTTTTTGTAACATTTTTCTTCGTTGGTTTTTTTACCTACGAAAGTTCTCATAAGAAAAAAAAGAAGAAGAAGACATTAGATTGGGTCATTGACTTAATGATTCAAAGAATAATAATCCACCATGGTAGAAGATTACGTCAATGATCGTGTATTTTTCTCTTGTCCAAAAAACTTTTAAATCCTTATTTATTGCCGTGAATCATTTCTATGAATATTTAAAATTTCTTTATATTCGACAAATTGTCGCGAATGGATGTGTTGTTTCATACGTGACCTCATCTTTTCCTCTTTTTCTTCTTCTTTTTCAAAACCTCGTTCAAAACTAACCAGATTTTTTTTTTTTTTTTTTTTTTTGAAAAATTATCACTCACTTGTCTGTGTCTGGCTTTGGGTTAAGCACGTGCATTGATTATTTTGGTTATTGATAATATTATTATTATTTGGTATTTAAATATTTATAATTTATTTATATTAAAAATATAGTTTTCTTTTAACACCGAATGTTAAGAAATACAAATTTTACCTTTATAGTGTTATTTTAAAACCGAATGTTAAAAAAAATTTTTACAATTTTACCCTTGTAGTTATGGCGTTAGATTGAAATTTTTATTTTTGTAAACCATTAATTAATATATATTTAATACCAAATAGTAAATAATTAATCTATTATATAAAATGAAATTTCTCTAAATTTTATTTATTATAAATTTATAATTAAAATTGTGAATCATTTCTTTCGCCATCCAGTGTAATTTTTCTAATTTCATGTTAATCTATTTCACTCATTTGCATTAAGGTTTTTGCGGATTATTGTTTTTTTGAAAATATTTTGCGAATAAACAAAATATTATATGCTAAAATGAACAATATTTAAATGAAGTGTTTGTTTTTATATAAAAGGAAAAAAATAAATTTCTTTTTTAAAAAATAAATTCACTCTAAATGTGAATCAGTAAAATTTTCATGTCCACTTTTCCACATTCAGTTATTTTTATCTTAACTGTAAATATATTCATTTTTTTTAAATAAAAATATAAAAACAAAATATTTTCAAAAAAAAAATATAAATTGTGGTTCGAGAAATGCATCGATTTTTTTTTAAATTTACATGTCCATGAAATTATTCAATTTACATGATAATAATTTTGATTGTGAATTGAAAAATTAAATTTCATTGGGAAATATTAATTTTCAGTACCAATATACCAAGTGGTACCAGTATTACATTCGGTGCACAAGAGAAGTCAAGATGCAAAACAGGAAGTGCATCTCAAGGCGTTCGGAAAAGATTTCCATTTGTCCCTGGAGCCAACAGAAATATTGTGGTCCGGAGATCATTTATCCATGTGGACAGTCACTAGAAATGATTCGCAACCAAATGGATTGGATTATGAGATAGTACCGGAAGTAAGGATATTTTTTTTTGTGTTACCAAAAAGAAATCTTAATTTAAACCTTCTTCACTTTTTCACCATATTTCTGATGAGAATGTAAAAGTAGAAAAATGAATAATGTAACTACTTTATTTATTCAATTTTAAAGAATTAGAGTATATTTATTGTAAATAAGAATAATTTCTATTGTAAATAATAAAAATTGGGTTTAAAAAAAAAAGAGTTGTAATGAATAATAATTATTTGTATTTTCTTTAGACGAGTACAGATATTGGTGACGCCTACCAGGACGAGGAGAATATGGCATCAATTGTGCTGCACCGGAACGAGGATGAGAAAGTGCTCGTTGTAAGAAGCCTTGTTCTTTCTTAACATTTCTTTCGAAACTGTGTGTATGTCTATTATTACAAACAATCTTTCGCCAACTTAGCCCCGGCCTCTGATGTTATAATTATAGCAATACCGGTTGCAATTTATTGTGCACGTGCACTCACCTCAACACAATTGACAATTAAAGGCGTTGGCATTTGCTCTTCCTTTGCTCGAAATAAGAGATTCAAATTTATTTATGTATCCTTCCAATTTGTTCAAAAATGTTGCGAATTTATTTTCTTACTATTATTGCTTTCATTATTATTATTAGTACTATCATTCTTTTTATTATTATTTTCGAAAATTTTAATAAAATTCTTGGCAAAATTTCAAAATTTTCCTGAATTCAATGATTTTCGTAAATAATAAAATTTATCGCATGATTTCAATTATTTTTGGTAAAATTATGAATTCCACAGGAGAAATGTAATTATTTTTAAAAATTTTATTAAAATACTTCAAAAGAATTTAATTAAATAGAAACATTTTGGCATAATTTTTTTTTTAAGAATTTAATAATTATTTTCAAAATTTTTTATAAAGCTCTTTATAAGAATTCAATTATTTTATAAAATTTAGATAAATATTTTTATAAGAATTACATTTTAAGAAATATTCAATTATTTATTTTTATAATCAAATAATTGAATTCTTGTAGAACTTTCTAAGAAGAATTTATTTTAAATTGCATTTTAGTTAACATTTCAATATTATTTTTTTAAACGATTCAACTATTTACAACAATTTTTCTAAATTCAATTATTTTTAATATCTACTATTTTAATAAAAAATTGCCAAAAAGAATTCAATTATTTAAAAAGAAATTTATAAAATTCTTCGCAAACATTTAATAATTTTTAAAAATAATAAAATTTTCACAGAAATTCAATTATTTAAAACATAATTTTCATAAAATTTTTCGAAAAAAACAATTATTTAAAAAGATTTTTAGAAAATTCTTCAAAAGAATTTAATTATTTTTAAAAACATTTGGTCTATTTTGTTTATTAGAATTTAATAATGATTTTCAATAAATTTTTCATTAGCTTCCTTGAAAGAATTTATTTTTTTTTTTTCAAAAATTTTATAAAATCATTTGCAAACATTCAATTATTTTCATAAATAATAAAATTTTCACAGGAATTCAATTATTTAAAAATTAAAACACAATTTTCATAAAATTTTTCGAAAAAAATCAATTCTTTAAGAAGATATCTTTATTTCTATTAAATTCTTTGCATGAATTGAATTATTTTTTATAAATAATAAAATTCATCTCAGGAATTCAATTCTTTTTAAAAAGTTTAATATAATTCGTTGCAAAAATTCAATTATTTTCATTAATAATAAAACTCATCGCAAGATTTAAATTATTTTTAATGCAAATTTTGAATGAATTCCTCAAAAAATGTAATTATTTTTTAAAATATTATTAAAAATCGTAGAAAATGTTGAATTATTTAAAAAAATTTCGCTATAATTTGTTCATTAGAATTTAATAATTATTTTCAATGCATTTTTAATTAAATTTCTTTAAGGAATTTAATTATTTTTAAAAATTTTAATAAAAATCTTCATAACAATTCAAGTATTTTATAAAATTTTGATAAATCTCCTTTATAAGAATTCAATTATTTTCAATATCTACTATTTTAATAAAAAAATTCCCAAAAAATTCAATTATTTAAAAAGGAATTTAATAAAATTCTTTGCAAGAATTGAATTTCCATAAATCATAAAACTCATCGCAGAATTTCAATTATTTTTTAAACAATTTTAATCAAATTTCTTGAAAAATGTAATTATTCTTAAAAATTTTATTAAAAATTGTAGGAAGAATTCAATTATTTAAAAATTTGTTAATAAAATACTTTATGAGAATTGAATTTTCAAAAACATTGAATTATTCAATAAATTGTTAATTTTTGTATTTCAATAATTGAATTGAATTTTGGATCCAAAAATTCAATTTTTACTATGAATAAAATAACGAATTTCAGATAAAAAAAAAAGTAATACCATGGAAATAAATAACATTACGTAAAAAGTGCGTCTCTTTTGAATGTATAAGCAAAGGTTAAAAATAATTGAATTTTCCAGTCTATTGCATTAAATTAAAGTCCGTTTTTATTAAATGACTTCGAAGATGCTTTTGCCGCGGTGTGTTTCTATATAGCGATTAGGACATTTAAGATCGAAAACCTTTTAAATGAAACACGTAATGTTTTAGGTTTTTGCACTTATGTAATGAATCGCAAAAGCGTTGTTTTTTCTTTTCCTTTTTTTTTTCTTTTAGTGACCCCATGTTGTTTTGACCTTTTAAGCTTTCACTCTCTCTTTCTTCTTCAATCTGACCGATGCAATGCATTTTGAGATAAAACTCGAAATTGCCAATTCCATCAACAAGTGCATGACACTTTATGGTGATCTAATCATTTCCATCCTATAACATTTATGTCCAATAAATTTTAATGTACCGCCCCCCTGAAACTCTCATTAATTTTCTGTTTCTTTTTCAAACTCGACGAGTGGTTTTTTTTTGTCCTACTTACTTCATTGAAAAAAAGAAAAATAATTTTATTTCTTTCTAGCTATACTCTCGTAGAGTTCAGCAGGGGAATTATGATCTATTTTAGACCCTAGGACCTTTTTTTTTTATTATTGGAAAATATCTAAAAAATAATGTTGTTTTATTCTAGTGATACTTTCGCTTTGCCAGGGGAAAACGATTTACTTTAGACCCTAGGCGGAGTATTTATACCCCAGGGTAAAAATGATCTATTTTACTCCCTAGGGAATTTATTATAATAATCTATATAGAAACATTTCCGAAAAATATTTAAATTTTCAGTTCTCTATGAATTATGTGCAACGTGAATAGTATAAAAAGAATTCACAAACTCTGCATTAAATTTTATAACATTTCGTCTAAAATAAAAACATGCTTAGCATAATATCGTGCAATGTGACTTCTTGGAAGGTTGATATATAATTTTTGAAATGAAGGAAGGAAGCAATTAATAATAAGATATGTTAAATATTCATAAGAAAATATTTGAGTCGTAAAAAAAAAGTTGGCATAGTTTTTTTTTTTTTTTTTTTAAATGACCGCCTTTGATTTTTCTTTCTAATTCAGCATGGGAATATTGGATCGGACTATGTGATTCGTCCACTTCCAGAGCGTGTGATAAAAGAAGTCGTGAGTCAAATTAAAAATCTTCACGAACCACACCTGTTGCCCAATGTCACGAGGGTGAAAAGAAACCTGAAGAACACACATCATCATGTTGTATTTAAAATATCAGAACGTCCTTTAAACGACGAGTTTAGTGACTTTGGTAAGTTCTTCAATTCTAAGAAAAATTCTATAAATCACTTTTAATAAAATGTCGACAAATTTTTTTTTTTTCAAACATTAGGTTTATGTTTATCATTCGATGATTTTATAATCAATGTTTTAGAAGAAAAGGAAAGAGATAATAAGGAAGAACAAAAATTATGGTTAAATGAATCATTTTTAAACCCTTTTTCTGATTTTTATGTTTTTTTTTTTTTTTTTTTTTTTTTTTTTTGAGGTCTTTGGCCTGTTAGTTCTTTTGTAATATAATGAGGTGCTTTGATATTCAATTTTATTCCAGTTATCTTATTATGTGAAATCATTTTCGTTCTGAGTAAGGAGCGGTAATGAAATATTAATGATGTTTTGAATTGGTAATCTGGAAGAGTTTTTTAGAGCAATTTTTTTACTTTGAGGTTCATACAAAATTGTATATTAATTTTTTATTTTGAAAATATAAATAAAAAATAAATAAATAAAAATAAAATTTCACTTGAGTAGTAAAATTTGCTATTTTATTTTTATAGCTTTTATGGAGCCAGATCATTTGTCAAAGAGATTCAGGAAGAAAAGATCGGTCAGCGTTAGATCGAAACGTGATGCGCCATATGTTATTTATCCTGAAATTCTTTGTATAGTAGATTATGATGGTTACAGGTAATTTATTTTTACTTTTACTAATTTCTTCCATTAATTTTACTTTATTAAAAAAATTAATCATTTTTCTTCTATTCTGAAAAAAACTGAGAAGTTGCAAAAAGAAAATCAAATTTTTCACTTTTTGAATGTCACACCTAAATTAGGGGGCGTCCAAAAACTACGTTAACAATTTTTCATTATTTATAGACCCCCACCCCCTAAAATTGCTGATTTTATTAATGTTATACTTTTTATATTAAAAAAAAAAAAAAAAAAAAAAAAAAAAAAATTCTTTACTGTATAATATTTTTTTAATTATATTAAATTTATAAACGTTATAAAACTTTTATGAATGGCCTATTTATATTCATAAAAATTTTCAATTGATACCAAATTTATAATTAAAATGTGAACTTTAATTTAAGATTGAAAATTTAAATTCACCTGAAAAATAAAAGTGTTTTACAAAAAGAATAAATAAAATAATAGAGAATAGTAAATGAAAATTTGGAATAGAAGTAATTTTCAGAAATTATTTTCAAAAAATTTGCCTCTTTATTTATTTATTTCAAACCCCTTTTAGAAACTGACGTAAAAGCACGAGAGGGGCTGCTAATTTAAATATTTTATTCATCTTATATAGATTTTATTTTAAGATAAACTGAGCTTCTGTTTACACTCGAGAGCAAATGTTTGGCTATAGGAACAGGGGAACAAAGATTGACCGACTTGACTTTGAATTGCAAGTTTCTAAACTTAAATATATACCTGGTGTCCTCTCGCATTCGTGGCTATGTCCACAAAAAAAAAAATGTTGTATAGTTCTCATTAACAACTCATCCTTTATTTAACAAAAAAATATTTTTATTTTTGTTCATAAAGAAAAATTGGATTATTATTTTCAATTAAATAAAAATTAATATGTGACGCCCTCCGAAGAAAGGTGGTCGCCATTTTAAAATAATCATATGTTTCTTTTGGCGCATGCGCAATAAAAAATTCAGCGAAGGAGTTTTTTTTAAAGAAAAGACAATTTACTTTTTTTATTTATTATATACAGCTTTATTGCAACTTCTCATTTAATACAATATTTCCCAGAAAAATTATTAAAATTATAGTTATTATTGTAAAATTAATAAAAAAAATTTGTTGATTTTATTCTTTCATTTTTTAAAAAAATAAACTTTATTTTTTTCCTTAAAAATTTCTAAAAATCGATATCAGGCTTCGTACTCGATAATTAATTTTAAAATTTCTAAAAATTCACACCTTAACGCATTTTATATTCAAATATTATCTCACATTTTAATTGAATTTTAACTCTAAATCAATTCTCATTAGAAAGTTTTACGAGAATTCAATTATTTAAATACAAAAATAAATAACATATTGAATAATTGAATGTTTCTTAAAATTCAATTCTTCTAAAGAGCTTTATCAAAATTTTTGAAAATAATTGAATTCTTCCAACGATTTTTAATAAAAATTTTAAAAATAATTGAATTTTTTTCAAGGAAGCTAATTGAAAATGTATCGAAAATAATAATTAAATTCGAATAAAAAAATTATACCAAAATGTTTTTATAGAATTCAATTCTTTTGAAGAATTTGAATAAAATTTTGAAGAATAATTGAATTTTTTTCGTGGAATTCATTTAAAATTGTACTAAAAATAATTGAAATCATTCGAAAAATTTTATTATTTATGAAAATAATTGAATTTTTGCAAAGAATTTTATTATTTATAAAAAATAATTGAATTCCTGACAAGAATTTTGTTATTTATAAAAAATAATTGAATTCCTGACCAGAATTTTATTATTTTTAAAAAATAATTGAATTCTTGCGAAGAATTAATTTGAATTCAAGAAATCTTTTTAAATAATTGATTTTTTTTTGAAAAAATTTTATGAAAATGATGTTTAAATAATTGAATTTCTATAAAAATTTTTTTATTTGTAAAAATCATTGAATGTTTGCAAAGAATTTTATAAATTTCTTTTTAAATAATTGAATTCTTTTAGGAATTTTTTTTATTAAAATAGTAGATATTGAAAATAATTGAATTTAGAAAAATTGTTGTAAATAGTTGAATCGTTTAAAAACATAAAATTGAAATTTTAACTAAAATGCAATTTAAAATAAATTCTTCTTAGAAACTTCTACAAGAATTCAATTATTTAAATTCAAAAATACATAATTTAATGAATAATTGAATATTTTTTAAAATTGAATTCTTATAAAGGGGTTTTTAAAAATTTTTGAAAATAATTGAATTCTTGTGATGAATTTTATTAAAATTCTTAAAAATAATTGAATTCCTGAGATGAATTTTATTATTTATAAAAATAATTGAACTCTTACGAAGAACTTGATTCAATTTTTAATTTTTTTATACTAGAAATGTAAAAAAAAAAAATTATCCAAATAGTATCAAATCGTAAAAAAATTAGTAAATTTAGTTTTAGTAGATGCAATAAATAGTTTCCTGGTAAAATTATTATCATCTCTGTTAAGTGTTTCTTTATATTTAAAAAAAAGAAGAAAATGTAAGATTTTTTAAAATGCTTTTAGATTGCACGGCGGTGACAATGTGCAAATTAAGCGTTACTTTGTTTCATTTTGGAATGGAGTGGATCTTAGGTACAAATTACTAAAAGGTCCTAAAATTAGAATCAGCATCGCTGGAATTATAATATCACGCGTGAGTAAAATTTACAATTATACAATAATTAATATTTACATTTACAATTTACATATATTCATTATTTTTATAAATAAATTAAATATTCTTTTGATTCGTAAAAAATTTTTTTTTCACAAATAGAATTTTAACGTTAATAATTATTTTAACATTCAAAAAAAATCTGTACACAATCAGAATAGTTTAATATTTAATTTTTGAATTTTCAAATTATGTAAATTTACGTCGACATTTTTCTTTCTGAATAATTCAAATGCCTTTTAGAAGTTAATAAAATCAGCCTTTAATGGGAATAAATTGAAAATTTTAATTTTCTAATATTTCAATCTTTGAAAAATTTTATTTCAAAATATTGTTAAAAAAAAAAATTTTGCACATTGAAAATATTTTTTTTATTAGGGTAGGGACGCGACACCTTATTTAGAAAGAAATCGCGTTGGACGCGATGCCATCGATTCAGCGGCTGCCCTAACCGATATGGGCAAATATCTTTTCCGCGAGAGGAGACTTCCGGTCTACGACATTGCTGTTGCCGTCACAAAGTAAGGAGTGTCTTTTCTTTAGGGTTAATAATTAATACAGAAAATAAAAAAATTACGCACAATTTTCACTATCAAAAATACCTCAAAATATTTCATTAATTATTAAAATTTATCCAGTAGGGAAAAAAAACTAATGCTAATTTTTTACTCTAGTGTTTATATTAAATTTTTACAGTTTAATTTTATTTGAAAATACTTCCTAGAAATGATAGAGAGGAATTTTATGGAATTTTTCATTTTATTTTTTATTTTATACAGAGGGAAAAGAAACTGACTTTTTTTTTTTAATCAACAGAGGTAATAAAATTTTGAAATATTAATTTTTCAATGTCAAATTTTTATTTCGACAAACAGGTATGATATGTGCCGTCGTAGGAAAGGCGGTCGCTGCACTAAGGGAACTGCCGGTATGGTTTATTATACACTGATAATGCATTTTTTATTAATTTCCTATTTAGGTATGTTGTGCTTGTCGAGAAAACGTAATTACAAAATTAACGTTGACCTTACGTAATTCACACGTCTGTTTATTCTAAACGGGAGTATAGGTATTTTTATTAATTTCGTTCAAGGTATATAAAGTAAATTTCTTTCTCGATTTATTTCAATTTTTTACTATTCTTTTAATTACCTTTTTTTTATTAATAAAATACGATTCATTTTTTTACTAATAGTTGCAATTAATTTTTATTGGTAATTACGATTTTTTCTAATTAATAATTACTGCGAAAAAATATATAAACAAAAATTCAATTAAACTTTTTCAAAAACATTAATTTCAAAATTTAATTATTTCTAGAAATTCACTCTATATTGCTTTTAAAATTCAATTATTATCTATAATTTTAAGTGAAATTCATTTTTAAATCAATTTTTAATACAAAATTCTACTAGAACTCAATTATTTAAATACAAAAATAAATAATTTATTGAATAGTTAAAAGTTACTTAAAATTCAATTCTCATAAAGAATTTTATCAACAAATTTTTAAATAATTGAATTCTTCCAACGATTTTTAATAAAAATTTTAAGAATAATTGAATTTTTTCACGGAATTCAATTAAAATTGTTTAGAAAATAATTGAAATTCTGCAATGAGTTTAATGATTTATGAAAATAATTCAATTCTTGCAACGAATTTTATTCAAATTTTTAAAAATAATTGAATTCTTGAGAAGAATTTTATAAAAATTATTTTTAATAATTGTTTTTTTCGAAAAATTTTTAGATTTTATTAAATTTTTTTAAAATAATTGAATTCCTAAGAAGAATTTTATTATTTATAAAAATAATTGAATCGTTTCAAAATATTTTATTCAAATTTTAAATGAAATTCAATTTTAAATCAATTTCTATCAGAAAGTTCTACAAGAATTCAATTATTTAAATACAAAAATAAATAATTTAGTAAATAATTGAATATTTCTTAAAATTGAATTCTTATAAAGAGCTTTATCAAAATTTTAGAAAATAATTGAATTGTAATGAAGAATTTTATGAAAATTTTTGAAAATAATTATTAAATTTTAATAAACAAATTATACCAAAATGTTTTTATATAATTCAATTCTTTTGAAGGTTTTTAATAAAAATTTTATGAATAATTGAATTTTTTTCGTGGAATTCATTTAAAATTTCACTAAAAATAATTGAAATCATGCGATAAGTTTTATTATTTATGAAAATAATTCAATTCTTGCTACGAATTTTATTCAAATTTTTAAAAAGAATTGAATTTTTGAGAAGAATTTTATTATTTATAAAAATAATTGAATTCTTGCGAAGAATTTTATAAAAAATTGTTTAAATATTTTTGTTTTAGAAAAATTTTATAAGAATTGTGTTTTAAATAATTGAATTATTATTTTGTACGAAAATAATTGAATGCCTATAAAAAAATTTATTATTTATGAAAATAATTGAATGTTTGCTAACAAATTTGTAAATAATTGGTTATTTTTTCAAAAAATTTTTTGAAAATTTTGTTTTAAATAATTGAATTCCTACGAAAACTTTTATTATTTATGAAAATAAATGAATGTTTGCTTAGTCCCAAGGAAATTGGTGGGAAAAAATTAAAGCCTTTTTTTTATTGAAGATTTCTAATTATCAACTTAATAAATTATTAAATGTGAAAGAAGTTAATTAATAAATTATTAATCATTCGAGAAAGAAATTTACAATATTTCTAACAGAGGACTCGCTTTGGATGAACATTTTTTTTTTGTGAAATTTGCGGTTTAGTAATATACTTCTAAATCTCGAAAAATAAAAATTTAAAAAACCTCATATATTTAATCGAAAATAAAAAATTGTTGCTTCAAGATATTTTTTCCAAATAAACTAACAAATGAAAACAAGAGGAAAAGATCGAGATTTGAGGTTTAAATAAAATGGCATGATATCCAGAATGACTACATTCGAACATTTACCAATTAAAAATAAATTTATTAAAATATTTTTCTTTAAATATTTTATCCACATAATTATTTTTCATATTTGTCAATTTTGAATTTTGATATTTTATTTTTTTATTAAAAAAAAAATTTGTGTTTGTGTTTGGCTTGTCTGCATGCATTAGGAAAAAGCTTCTAGGAAGTATTTGCTTGGCTGTTAGTGTTTTTTTTTATTAGCCGAATTGTTTATACAATTTATATATATATATATATATAGTATATATGTTACAAAATGTAAAGAATATAAAATTTTTATTAACGTTCTAACTTCCCAGAATTGAGGAGGACTGCGACCAAGCGGGCTCATAAAACGAAACGTGTAAACACGTCGTTTGATGATTTAATTACATTTTTATGAATTGAATAAAAATTTCCAATAGGGTGGACAAACTGTGTTATTTTTTTTTTCATTTTGACAACAGTGTTTTTCAGTATTGATTACATTAATTCTCCATTAGAGTGTTGATTTGTGTCGAAATTTTGTCTCGTGACGTGGTCAATACGTCATCGTCCATTAATTAACGATGATAAAAAAAATGTTTTCTGTTATTGCGTTGCAGATTAGATATGTGCAGGAGGCAATATGCGAATGACGTGTGCAATAGAGGAACTGCAGGTACGTTTCTCACTCAAAAAAAAATGCACTTTTTTTATCGAAATAGGAAAGAACAAAATGTTCTAATTTAAAAATAGAAAAATCAAAAATATTAAATTAAAAACATGTTTTTTTTAATTTCTTTTTTTTCTCTCAGTTTTTTAATATTTTATTTAAATGTTCAATGCAGCTATTTTTAAAATAAAATTTTCCGAAGAAATGGTGGAAAACGTCTTCTTATTCTTCTACGGGGTTCTTCCTATTTTTGGTTTCTTTTTCTCAAATTTTTTCACCTTTTTCTCTTTCAAAAAAAAAAAAAAAAAAATCATCTCTAGTACAAATGGAGAAATCATTCATTTTTGGTTAGGTCTCTCTTTAGCATTTATATTTTTTTTGTAAATAACGAAAATAAGTTTATTTCTCACATTCTATTATTCTTCATTGTATCAAAAATTTGTGTTAATTTTCCTCCTCTCTTTTTTTTCTCCCTTTTGATTTTTCGCCACACACAAAAATAGAAAAATTTCTTTTTTGCTAAAATTTGTGACTAAAATAACATTTTTCATTTAGGGAAATTATTTTTCGTTTCTTTACTTCTTCTTCAGCATTCACTGTTTTCATTTCTTTTTTATTTGGGAATAAAGCAGTATTTTTTGGAAAAGGAAAACTTTTCTCAAATCTATTTCTTATTTTTAGTTCATTTTTTGTGATGTTCGATTTTTTCACAGTGGTGGTTGTAAAAAGAAATTTCGTTTATTGAGAAGATATTTGTTTTCATTTTGTGAAAAAAAAAACATTTTCTGGTGTTCGATTTTGAAATTTTAATTTTACTATATCGATTCGTTTTTGACTTTGACTTTCATTATCATTTTGAATTTGATTTTGGCTTTGACATTTATTTTCATTTTCACTTTTACTTTCCAAATCAAAGTCAGAGTGAAAATCAAAATCAAAAGTCAAAATGAAAGTCAAAGTCAAATTCAAAATCGAATTAAGACTTAAAGTCAAATTACAATTTCAATTCTCGTTTTCATTTTCCACTTTCAGTATTTGTAATAATTCAAAAATCTCATGGAGAGAATAAGGTCTTCTCAGGATTATATAAAAAAAAAAATTCCAAAAAGGAATCGAATTTTAGAAAATAATTTTGAGATGTACCTCCTTTTTGTAGATAAAAAATGCGTTATCTCAGTATCTTTATGTCTATCATATTCTTTCTTTTCTTTCGGACGCATTTCTGATATGGACCGCGGTCGGTAAGTCTTTGAAAAATAAAACAAAGAAAATAATTTCAAATTGTCACATATCAATTAAAATTGATACTTGACATAGTCTTCTTCATTCTAAAAAAAACAATTGTTTAACAACTCTAACTACAAAATTAACACCATATAGATGCATGTCGCTTAAAAAAAGAAAAGCTAGGCTCGCTTCGACTGACGAAAAAAAATTAAAAGCCGTGATCTTATTAATATTTACCTAATATTTTACTCTTTAATCGAAAATATTAACTCGAAATTAACAAAAAAATCAATTTCATTTTTTGCTTCAAGGGGGCAATTATTTTGCTCTCTGGTATTTTATTTTTGTATGAAATTAGAAAGAATGAATAAAGGAGGGTTAGTTTTTAAAGTAACTATATTAACTGTTGATTTAAGTATAATAGGAAAATTTTTAATAATAAGGAGTAATTGTGAATTTTATTAATATTTGAAGTAATAGACAAAAGAAAAATTTAGTATAATTTTAACAAGAATTGAATATTTTTGAAAGAGACATTGATAAAGTTTTTTAATGCAGGATTCGCGTATGTTGGTGGAGCTTGTGTCGTTAACAAGCGACTCGAAAAAGTTAATTCTGTCGCTATAATCGAGGACACTGGCGGCTTTAGTGGCATTATTGTTGCTGCTCATGAAGTTGGTCACTTGTAAGTATTTTCTATTCTTAATTATATATATTTAAAAAAAAAGTCAGTCAAAGAAAAAAGTTTCAACTTATTTTTGAAAAAATACGATTTTGAAAATTTTATTTATCAATTCAATTATTCTTAAAAAATTAAAATTGTCAAAGCCAAAGTGAAAGTCAGAGTTAAAATGAGAGTCAATATTGAATCGAAATTCAAAGTCAAATTACAAAATCGCACCCACGATACAAAGTTTGCATTAAAAATAAAAAAAAATTCTACAAAATTAGAATAAAAAGTTGAAAAAACTTCTGGTCTAAATTGGATGAATTTAAATTTTAAACTAAGACTTTTTTTACCATGTGTATTATTTATTTTTAATCTGCAACTTGTAAGACAGATGAAAGAAATTTTCATTTTGTATTCTAAATTTTAAAGTACATACTTGATTCTGTAAATGCTTCTTAATATCTGCCAGACTGCTGAAAACCCTCTTTATTTTGTTTCATTTTTACACCTTTTTTCTCTTTCTTCTTCTTCTTCTTCTTTGCTGAAAGAGAAAAATTTACAGAATTATAAAGACGGCATTTTTATTCTTCTTTATACGGGAAAGAACAATTTACAGAATTATAAAAGTCGGCATTTTTATTTCGTTTGAAAGCGAGAAATATTTATTACATTTTTTTTTGGTTAAAGCTGCTGTTTTATATACTAAAAATAAGAAATGATTATATGTTTGCTCACACCAATGTAATTTGACAGTGACCTTAACTTTTTTTTTTCATTAAAGACTTTGCCTTTCAATCATCAGAAATGAAGGAAACAAGATTGCACCTTGTTACCAGATATTATACAAATCGGTTAGAAAATTGTATATTGAAGAAGTATTATTTTGAGATAGGAGAAAGTATTATTTTGGTTTAGAAAACTAATTTTCACACGAATTCAATTTCAAACTACTTTCATGTTTTTTTTTCTATTCTTTTTTCTATCCTTTTTTTGTTTTTCTTCTTTTATTTTTAAAAGTAATCTTTATAAGTGTAAAAGAAAATTAAAAATTTTTATACACCTGCTTTGTCAATTTTGTTTCAATTATACATAAAATTCTTCTCAGGAATTCAATTATTTTTAAAGATTTAATAAAATTCGTTGCAAGAATTCAATTATTTTCATAAATAATAAGATCTATCGCAGGATTTCAATTATTTATATTAATAATAAAATTTAACGCAGGATTTCAATTATTTTTAGTACAATTTTAATTGAATTACACGAAAAAATTCAATTATTCTTAAAATTTTTATTAAAAATCTTTAAAAGAATTAAATTATTAAAAAAAATTTCAATAACACTTTTTGAAATGATTCAATTAATTTCAAAAATTTTTCGTAATTCAATTATTTTCAATATCTACTATTTTAATAACCAATTTCTCAAAAGAATTCAATTATTTAGAAAGAAATTTATAAAATTCTTTGCAAACATTCGATGACTTTTATAAATAATCAATTTTTCACAGAAATTCAATTATTTAAAATTTAAATAGATTTTCATAAAATGCATCGCAAGAATTCAATTATTTTTAAAAATTTTAATAAAATTCGTTGCAAGAATTCAATTATTTTCATAAATAATAAAATTTATCGCAGGATTTCAATTATTTTTAGTACAATTTTAAATGAATTCCACGAAAAAAATGCAATTATTCATAAAATTTTTATTAAAAATCTTTAAAAGAATTGAATTATATAAAAACATTTCGGTATAATTTGTTTGGTAGAATTTAATAATTATTTTCAATACATTTTTAAGTGAAATTCTTGAATGAATTTAATTATTTTCAAAAATTTTCATGAAATTCTTCATAACAATTCAATTATTTTCAAAAATTTTGATAAAGCTCTTTATAAGAATTCAATTTTAAGAAATATTCAATTACTTACTAAATCATTTATTTTTGCATTTAAATAATTGAATTCTTGTAGAACTTTCTAATAAGAATTAATTTTACATTGCAATTCAGTTAAAAATCAATATAATTTTTTGAAACGATTCAATTATTTTTAAAAATTTATCAAAATTCAATTATTTTCAATATTTAATAAAAAATTTCCCATATGAATTTAATTATATGAAAAATCCTTCACAGCAATTCAATTATTTTATAAAATTTCGATAAATCTCTTTATAAGAATTAAAGTTTAAGAAATATTCATAATTACTCAATAAATTATTAATTTTTGTATTTAAATAATTGAATTTTTGTTGAACTTTTTCAGAAGAATTGATTTTAAATTGCATTTCAGTTAAAATTTTAATAACATTTTTTGAAACGATTCAATTATTTTTATAAATAATAAAAATCTTCTTAAGAATTCAATTATTTTTAAAAATTTTAATAAAATCCTTCATGAAAATTCAATTATTTTCAAAAATTTTGATAAATTTTTTGCATTAGAATTCAATTTTAAGAAATATTCAATAATTCAATTAATTATTTTTGTATTTAAAATTTAACTAATTGAATTCTCGTAGAACTTTTTAATAAAAATTGATTTAAAATTGAATGTCAGTTAAAATTTTAGATAATAATTGAATATTAAATGCGATATAGTGGTAATTTTTAGAAGTAATTGAATGATTTTTAAATTGAAATCTTTCAAAATTTTAATTATTGTAAAAGTATTAAAAAATAAAAATATAAAAAAATAAAAATATTAAAACTTTTATTTTAAAATTTCTATTAAAATTATAAATCCAAACAAAATAACATCACAATATAAAATGATTAAAGTTTTGAATAATTTTATTTGAAAATTTTAACAAAAAATGATTGAATTTTCGAAGAATTACATTTGTAATTTTAGAAATAGTTAAATTTCAAAAAAGCTTTACATTGAAATGATTTAAAATCATTTTATTTCCTGTGAAAAAAAATAGGAATACTCAAGTATTTATTAGAACATCTTTTTTTTATTGGATCAATTCACGTGGAATTGCTTAATTAATATCATAATTATTATATAAATTGTCAATAATTAGCTGAATTATTATTTTTTGTAAAGAAATCAGTTTGAGAGATTCAGTAAAATACAAATATAGTAAATGAATTGCATAAGTATTTTAAAGTAAGAGGATAAAGTTTATGTTTATTTATAATTATAGAGGAATTAATTTTCCTTTTGTTTTAGATTAGGAGCTGTGCATGATGGTTCGCCACCACCAAGTTACCTTGGTGGACCTGGAGCTGAAAAATGCCGCTGGGAAGACGGTTACATCATGAGTGACCTCAGGCATACTGAAAAGGGATTTAAGTGGTCCCATTGCAGCGTATCGTCTTTCCATCATTTTTTAAAGTACGTTTCCGTAGAAATTGAAACATTTATAAATAAATATATATATATGAAATATTTTTAAGTAAAAAAAGTGTGCAATATTCGAAGAAACGAAATCTTAAAGGCGCAATAATTTTCTTGCTTACTTTGCCAAGTGTAATTAGAAAATTTATTTCACAATTAGTTTCATTTCTGTATTTATATAATTTCAATTTTTATTCCATTTTAAGAATAATTAAAAATAATAATAGTTTTGAGAATAATTACTCTTAATATAAATTAATTTCGCCATCTGAGAAATTTCTTAGTCGTTTAGGCTGACTCTACAATAAAAGTCTGTTGCCTCCCCCCCCTCCAGTTTCGTAAGTTTTCTTAGTTTCCTGCAAGCTTACAGGCTAACTAGAAAATTAAATTAAAAATAATAATTGACTTTGAGAAATTTTATTAAAGTATAATATTGAACCAAACGTGATTGAATTTTTCAGAGTCTTATTTTTCAGAGTTTTATCATTTATGAAAATTTTAAAATTGACATTGTAAATCGTGAAATGCGTGTGAAATAAATTGTAACGAGGTTTGAATTAATTTCAATTTTTTCTCAGTGGGGATACAGCAACTTGTCTGTACAATGCACCACACGAGGATGAAGCACTGCCGAGAGTTTTACCAGGAAAATTATTATCGCTTGATGCACAATGTCGAAAGGATCGTGGAACGAGCGCTTGCTTTGTAAGAAATTTTAATAATTCGTCCTTTTCACTTTCATTTCTTGACCCTGAGAGAAACTTGCTTGAGTTCGATGCACGAACCTTCTTCTTTTTTTTTAAACAGATGAGAGGATAATAACTGTAATAAATGTCAAACGTCATCAGGTCTATAAAAAATGGGGGAAGGATATTTTTTTTACATTTTTCCCCAAATGGTGATTTTAGTTTAGTAAACATTTCCATAATTGTGGAATTTGGAATAGTCAAAGTATTCTTTCTTCTTTTGGCTCAAAATACTTTTCTTTACACAAAATATTTTTCTTCGTTCAAAAATATCTACTTTTCTTTTCTCAAAATAATTTTCTTTACTCAAAATAATTTATTTTACTCAAAAAACCTACTTTTACCTAGAAAAAATACTTTTCTTTAGTACAAATACTATTTATTACTCAAAATATTCTTCTTCGTTCAAAAATACCTACTTTTCTTTACTCATAGTCAAAATACCTTTCTTTACTCAAATTATTCTATTTTCTCAAAAAACTTACTTTTATTTCGAAAAAATACTTTTCATTAATAAAAACATTCTTCTTTGCTTAAAAATAATTACTTTTCTTTACTCAAAAAAGCTGCTTTTCTTTCGAAAAAATACTTTTCTTTACTAAAAATACCTTTCTTGACTCGAAATATCTACTTTTCTTTATTTAAAATACTTTTCTTTATTCAAAATACCTAATTTTATTTACTTAAAAAATTTTTCTTCAATAAAAATAACTTTCTTTAGTCAAAATATTTTTCTTAACTCGAAATACCTACTTTTCTTTTCTGGAGATACTTTTCTTTACTCTAAATACTTTTCTTTACTCAAAATATTCTATTTTACTAAAAATACCTACTTTTACTTTGAAAAAATACTTTTCTTTAGTAAAAATACTATTTATTACTCAAAATATTCTTCTTCGCTCAAAAATACCTACTTTTCTTTACTCAAAATATTCTTCTTCGTTCAAAAATACTTACTTTTCTTTACTCAAAATATTCGATTTTACTCAAAAAACTTACTTTTCTTTCGAAAAAATACCTTTCTTTACTCGAAATATCTACTGTTTTTTTATTTAAAATACTTTTCTTTATTCAAAATACCTTATGTTATTTACTTAAAAAAATTTTCTTTAATAAAAATAAGTTTCTTTAGCCAAAATATTTTTCTTTACTCGAAATACTTTTCTTTAATCCAAATATTCATTTTTACTTAAAAATTCTTACTTTTCTGTACTAACAATATTCTATTTTGCTCAAAATATCAATGTTTCTTTATTTAAAATACTTTTCGTTACTCAAAATATTCTTCTTCACTCAAAAATATCTATTGTTCTTTACTAAAAATACTTTTCTTCACTAAAAATACTTTTCTTTATTTAAAATACTTTTCCTTCAAAAATATACTTTTCTTTGCTAAAAATACCTCATTTTCTTTACTTAAAATACTTTTCTTTAATCCAAAAAAATTCTTTTTTACTTAAAAATACTTATTGTTCTTTACTAAAAATACTTTTTTTGGCTCAAAATATTCTTCTTCACTCAAAATACTTTTCTTTATTCAAAATACCTTATTTTTTTCGAAAATACTTTTCCTAACTCAAAATATTCTATTCTATTAAAAATACCTACTTTTCTTTATTTAAAATACTTTTCGTTACTCAAAATATGCTTCTTCACTCAAAAATACCTACTTTTCTTTACTTCACTAAAAATACCTTTGTTTAATTAAAATATTCATTTTTACTTGAAAATACTTACTTTTCTTTACCAAAAATACTTTTCTTTATTCAAAATATTCAATTTTACTTAAAATAATTACTTTTCATTCTAAATATACTTTTGTTTATTTAAAAAATACTTTTCTTTACTTAAAATACTTTTCTTTAATCTAAATATTCTTTTTTACTTAAAAATACTTATTTTTCTTTATTAAAAATACTTTTCTTTATTCAAAATACCTTTTTTTCGAAAATACTTTTCTTTACTCAAAATATTCTATGTTATTCAAAATACCTGTATGCTTTTCTTTATTTAAAATACTTTTCCTTCCAGAAAATACTTTTCTTTACTCAAAATACTTTTCTCTGCGAAAATTATTCTTCTTTACTCAAAATACCCATAATTTTCCTGAATTAAAATACTTTCCTTTATAAAAAAAATACTTTTCCTTACTATAAATATTCTTAATTATTGAAAACACTCTTTATCACTAAAAATACAAAATTTCGACACAAATTGTAATTTATTTGCTATTACAGAAAGACGATCGAGTTTGTGCTCAGCTATTTTGTTTCGATGCTGGTTCAGGTTACTGTGTGGCTTACAGACCAGCAGCTGAAGGTTCTCCTTGTGGTGATGGTCAGGTTAGTAGTCGATATAATTTTTTTTTTAAATAAAGAATATTTGTACAATAAATTACAAATTAGTCAATATATTCTTTATTATTATTATAAATAAATAATTTCTGAATCGTTGATTATTGTATATTTTTTTTTCTTCTTGGCAGTATTGCTTAAATGGAAAGTGCGTTGCGGAGCACGAGAACATCATTCCAGATTACACTCAAAATGTTCCCACCTACATAAGACGAGATTATAATTCTGTCACACAAAGTCGGCCATATTACTCGCAATACGGAAATACGACGGAATACAGGTAAATTTGTTATTTTTTTTACTTTTATTCTATATAATACCTCGTCCAGAGTCTTGCAATAAGAAATAAGCAATTTATCTGAAAAATTCTCTCGAATTGCTCGTAAATAATTTTCTTCATTCACGTATTTTTTTGGTCATTTCAATAATTCCGCAGATTTTGATATTGTCTTTCGACAATTAAAATAATCACCCTAGTTGATTTTGAAGATTCTTTTAATTTTAAAAAGGAGTTTCTATTTTTAAACAGGGATTTTTAATCCCAGATTCCCTTAAGTACCCTAGTAATTTTTTTTTATTCTTTAGAAGTCAAGGGTTAATTTTAAAAACCCCTATAGTCGATTTTAAGAGTTTTTAATTCAAAAAAATATTTTTTAATTTTTAAAAAAGGATTTTTAATCCTACATTGTCTAAAGTATTTAAATTTATGTAAAAAATTTTCAAAGCCTAGGGTTAATTATAATTTATAAGAACCCTTAAGGGTGTTCAAAAAGTCAATTGGAAAGCTAATAAACCACTGAGTAAAATTTAGTTCAATTTGAGTTATAGAAATACAGAATTTAAAATAATAAATGCGGATGAAAAGTAAAATTTTCTTCTGGAGACTTTTTTAGAATTACGAATTCGATAATACGCGGAATCATTGGAGAATTCAAACAGCAACTAGTCATCGAATTCTCTGCTAAATTATCAGCGTTAGTGCGAGTTTGTATGTCGATTGAAATTTCCTCTCCCTTTTCTCCATCGTTTCGCATCGCTCGGTTTTGGTCTCGACGGAGAATCCTCTCGCAATTGAGAAAACAGTAATTATCGGAAATTAGTAAAATAGTGAATTGGGATTTCATTAGTAATGAATAACCATAACTATACGCAATTAATTATATTAGGTACTAAAAACTAAAACCTATGGGTGTAAATTTAAAAAAAAGAAACTATTGAACACCCTTAATTTCAATTATCTTTAGAAATAGAAATAATAAAATTTATTCTTTCACTATGACATTAATTTTGATATTGACATTGAAAAATCAAATCCTATTAGGATATAAATACATATATTTTTCTTTTTTTTGCATGAACCTAATTTTTCATTAATATTGTATTTGATATACAGGTATCCATGGGTTACAACTCGCAGCAACTTCGATAATAGATATAAATACACAACACCCTATACACCAACAGTTAGTCCCTATAGAGTTGTTTCACAATATACAACGCCTGTTTTTAAAAAAACACAAAGCACAGCTTGGAAAAAGCAGCCACAAATTAAAACAACACGTTATGTAAACACAAATAAAATTTATCGTAGTCCACCATTAATAACAACCACGGCGAAATCTTATATTATTCATAATTATGTGAAAACACATTATCGCTCGACTGGTTATTCAAAGGCAAATTATCCCCAGAGTAAAGTGACATATCAAAAAACTTATCCCTACAAATATAAGAGTTCAGCCAGTTCGATGTCATATTCGTCAGCGTCCGATGGAAATGGCACAGACGATGGTAATGGTAAGGATAATGTTGTCGCACTGTGAAAAGTAATTTCTCTCTGTCTATACTATTGTATATGTTCATTCTTGCGTCTTTTTTTCTCCTCACATACGCATTTTATTATCAACGCAGGTGGTTTTTTAATTCATCAAAAAAAAAAATTCTCTCTGTCTCTTTTTTTCTCTCTCATTGCGCCTACTTAAGTCAAGTGGGTCCAAGAAATTCTGTAATTTTTTTCCTGGAAATTTTCCTTTCAGGAAAGAGAAAAAAAATTGTATTCTCATTTTTTTCCTTCCGCTACATTTTGTAGTCTTACTGAGTCAACAAAAAAAAAAAAAAATTCAGGACTAAGTGGATGTGTATTAAAAACATGAAAAAAATATTCTGACTACATCAATAACAGAACACTATCATAACACTTTCTATTATTTTTTTCTTAACCTTTTAACGCCCAGTTAAAATCGCGGTGGATCTGATAAGTATAAAATTCAAAATGGCGGATCCAATATGGCGGCGAAAAAATCTTGTTATTTGGGAGTTGATTACGAATCTTAAGTCGAAATTTCAAAATTAAAAATGGCGGATGCAATATGGCGGCCAAAACCTAAAAACCCTGGAGTAATAAGTGTTAACAAATTTAATTGATTTTTTAAATTTTTGTCCGCCATATTGAAGCCGCCATTTTGAATTTTGATTATCGACTTGAAATTTATCATCAGACATTGAAAAAAAAACCCTTAAATACAATAATAAAAATGTATTTAAAAATTTATTTTATTAAATAAAATAAAAATTTAGTCAGTTGAAATAATTTGGGCTTTAGAGGGTTAAAATGTGACTCTTTTTCACCTCTACACTGATAATAATAATCTTCTCTGTTTCAGCCAGCTCACTTCCAGACAGTGATGGCGTTAATTTTAATTTCACCCATTTTTCATGTACTATTTTATTTTTAAGGTCTTATCAGGTGTAAAAATGAGCGGTAGCTCACTTTTTTTTTGGAAAAAAGTCTAAAAACTAATTTTTACATTTACATTTCTAATAATATACTAAAGAGCAGCGTTTGTGAATGCAAAAATTTTGTGAAAATTATTACGCACTCTATAATTTATATTATTCTTTATTCTTCTAAAACGTCTACTGATATTCTATTATCATACTGTTAATTTTATTCATCTATTCTTAAAAAAAAGTAATTTTAGTATTTTTCTACTTAATATGATAAATTTTAAATATGATTTTTATAAATTATCTGAATTTCGATAAAACTTGTCAGATTTGTGGAATTTGAAAATATGATCGATATAAAAACTTGAATATTTTTTTATTTTTATTTCTATTTTGTTTAAATTATTTGTTTTTCCAGTCAATAGAATTTCTAAATTATATTCTATATAGTTAATTATATATTATTAATATTAATACATTATTAATTCAATTTTTCTTTTTTTTTAATTTCGCGCCAAGTTCTTTAAATTGCCGCCTAGATGGCATGAAAATTCGCTCACAAACGAAATGAAACATCGCTAAAAGTTATTTAGAAGAAAAAAAAAAGATGTTTCAGCTATAAAATTAATAATATTATAAATTATAATAATAAATAAATTGTAAATAATTTTAATTAATAAAATTAAAAATAAAATTAGAAATAAAATTAAAGATAAAATTAGAGATAAAATTAGAGAAAATAGAATGAGGAAAAGTTATGTCTAGGAATAAATAAAAGTAAAGGAGAAATAGATTAATATAAATAAAATAATCTATTTTCTCCCCCACCTTATTTTATCTAATTTTATCCATTCAATGGAATTATTTACAATTTATTTTTTTAATTCGAAAATAAAAGGAATTTATCAATCTTATTATTATTAGTAATTATTATAAATTAATAATAATTCCCTTTTACAACTGACACGAAACAATTTTTTAATTGTGATTGTGAATTTTGTAATTAAATTTTTTATATTATTTCTTATTATTTGAAATTATTTATTACTTTATTTACTAAAAATATGATCAATTTAAAAACTTTTGTGATTTACTATTTTTATAATTTGAATCTTTTTTATTTAAATACTTTTATCTTTGATAAATATTACAACATATTGTTTATAAAAAATTCCTTTCTATTCATTAATTTTACGTTTCGTTTTAAATTTTGTTTTAATACAAATAGTTTTTCCTTTTTTCCTTCCTTTTTTTCCCTTTCTCCTTTTTTCCTTCCACGCAAAGTATTTTTTATTTATTTATTTAAGTAGTGTAGTAGATTATTTTTTAATAAAACAACCGAGTGCTAAAGTCAAATATTCTTTTTTTAGTTTATTTTTTATTATTATTTTCATTTTTTGATTAAATCTTTTAATTTTCTTATTCAAACACTTTTATTAATAATAATTTATCGTTGGTTTAAATATTTATTATTTTATTTACTAAAAATATGAGCACTGTATAAATTTCTATTTTTGTTTTCCTTTTTTTATTTATATATTTTTTTTAATGGTTTATTATTTTATTTAATAAAAATACGAGCCATATAAAAATTGCTATTTTCGTTTTTTTAATTTTTGTATTTAAATATTGTTTCTCTATGTTAAATCCAGCAGATTATGTATAGAATTTTTTTTATGAGTATTTTTAATTATTTATTGTCTTATACCAATTTTTGTTGTTAAAAAATTGCACTGAATTATTCACTGAGAAAATTTTAAAAATTATTCAATTAATAATCAAATTATTGGTTCAAATACAATTTAATTTACGTAAATAAAAATGATATGATTCAAGTAAATATTTACTATTTTAATTTTGATTTTTATATTTTTTTCTTAATAAATATTTTAATGATTTAATTAGGTATTATTTAATATTTTAAATATTTTTATGATAATTTCGCTCCAGATTATTTAGAGAAAAGATTTTCTTTGGATTAGGTATTTACTTTTTTTTAATTAAATATTTTCTCTTTATTTTAATATTATTTTACTTTAAACTTTATTTTTTCTACGGAGCTGAAATTAAGGCTCAAAGAGTTGATCAACTGCTTTTTTTTAAATAAACAGTCGATTAGAATTTTTTCATGATTACGAATCGAGGCTTTATCGAAATACGAAAAAAAAATAATTTTTGGATATTTACTTTGCGTTATAATTGCAAAATAAAATAAAAATAATTAAATTTAAAATAAAAATAACTATTTATAAAATTAAAAAAAAAAATAAATTTCCTTATTTTAGAAACAGAGGCCGATGAATGCAAGGACGAGGCAATTGATTGCGCAGGGCTGATCAGCAGGATGGGAACATGGCTGTGTCATCTGCAATCAGTGAAAAGCCGTTGTTGCGCGTCCCTCAAGGGAATCTGCAATAGTTAGAAAGAGACAGAAACCGAGAAGAACACGAAAAAAACAAGGAACAGAGAAGCTGGTGCTCACTAAGGGCGCTAACCTGTGCAAATGTCGATTTTTGTATAAAAAAAAAAAATTGTCGATTTTTAAAAATTCGACAAGAACTTTATTTCTCTCTTTTGTGCACTAGTGAAAAAGAATGAAAGTTTTCTTTTTTTTTCTTTTTTTTTTTAATTAATTTTAACCAAACAAAAAAAAAGTGCAAGGAACATTTGAATGCCTCGCAACAATTCCCCCATCCCAAAAAAAATTCGGTACACCAATACGAATCGGGTTTCGTTTAAAATAAAAAAATCTATTTTTTAAAGAAAATAAATTAAGGACACATTGATCTGCAAATCAGAAATAATCTGATGGAAAAAAATTGTGTAAAAAAAGAACGATCCTCGAAAAATGAAGTTCAAACGTTGTGTGTACAAGTGCTGTTTTATTTTTATTTTTTTTTTTCATTTTCTATCATGTTAGAATGTATGTAGATTTAATAAAGATTCTTCTTTTTAAATTAGAGAATCTATTAAATTGACTTTTGTCTGAAAAAACACGAGTCGTCTTTCATTTTTTTCGTTTTGTTTCTAAATATCCTTGTGTATTATTCATTCTAATTGTTGTTTTTTTTGTGTATCACTTAATTATTCTTTTATTTAAGTTTTCGATTGACGACATGGCGCAAGAACGTTTTTTGTTCAATAGCCCTGATATTATAAAAAAAAAATTGTGACATTGGCAAAACCAATATTATTGAAGCGTTTCTGGAAAGAATGTCTTCAGTTCAATTTTATCGACGAAAGAAATTTTTTTTTCAAAAAAATGAAAAACACTTTTTGTAGCGTAACAATAAATATAATAGTTATTAATTATAATGTAGTGTTATTTTTTTATTTAATTGGTGAATTTAATTAGAAATTTTGTTTTTTCCATAACTTTTTCCTAATTTCCAGACAAAATTTTTACTTTTTCCCTGACTCTGCAGAATATTCTGATTCACTCCAAAAATTATTAGATACTCAAAAAAATGTTCTATTACATTTATTTACGAATTTTTTTAATTATAAAATTATTCAAAAACATTTCAAAGATTTTAATATGAACCTTTCTCAAAATTTCAAAATAATTGAAAATCTGCGAAAAGTTTTTTTATTTAAGAAAATAATTGAATTCTTGAAACGAATTTTATTAAAATTTTTTTTAAAGAATTGAATTCCTCTGAAGAATTTTATTTTTAAAGTAATAGAATTCCGGAGAAAAATATTATTATTTTTGAAAATAATTAATTTCTTGTGAAGAATTTAATTCAAATTTTTTTTAAATAATTAAATTCTCATAAAAAATGTATTATTTGTGAAAATAATTGAATTCTTAAAAAACATTTTATTTAATATAATTGAATTCTTAAGAAGAATTGTATTCAAAATAATTGAACTCTCAAGAAAAATTGAATTTAAGGGCTGGCTGCAATAAGGGGACGAACGCGAGACTTGGAAGGGATACTACCAGTCGCTCGCTGCTACCTGACAGATATTATCCCTTTCAACCACGCATTCGTCCCCTTATTGCAGCTAGCCCTTCAATTGAAAATAATAATTTTTTATCTTCTGCTGATTATCGGCTGTGGCTACTTTTCCTTAAATTTGAATTAAATCATTTCTAACGATTTAGATAATTTTTGAAATTGTTCTAGTAACAGTTTAGGATCATTAAAAAATTATTTACCAACAATTGTAAATAAACAAATAATAAAATTCGATCAAAAAATAATTTTTTGTCCTACCTGCATTATTGCTCCTTAAAATGTGATGATTGAAAGATTTTTAAATAAATTTTTGATAGCCAGCGTCCCCACCCGCCCGTATCAGAAAAACGAAAATTGGAAATAAGTTCAAAAAAAATTCATAACTCGAACAATTTTCGACCAAATTCTTGTTTCTTGGTCGCAAATTAAAGAGGGATTAATGCTTTTTGTCACTGGACTAATGAGAATATGTTTAAAATATTTTTGATAGCCAGCGTCCCCACCCGCCCGTATCAGAAAAACGAAAATTGAAAAAAAAGTTTAAAAAAAATTTATAACTCGAAAAATTTAAGACTAAATTTTTATTTCTTGATCACAAATTAAAGGGGGATTAATGCTTTTTGTCACTGTACCAATAAGAATATTTTTAAAAAATTTTTGATAGCCAGCGTCCCCACCCGCCCGTATCAGAAAAACGAAAATTGAAAATAAGTTCAAAAAAAATTCATAACTCGAACAATTTTCGACCAAATTCTTGTTTCTTGGTCGCAAATTAAAGAGGGATTAATGCTTCTTGTCACTGGACCAATAAGAATATTTTTAAAAAATTTTTGATAGCCAGCGTCCCCACCCGCCCGTATCAGAAAAACGAAAATTGAAAAAAAAGTTTAAAAAAAATTTATAACTCGAAAAATTTAAGACTAAATTTTTATTTCTTGATCACAAATTAAAGGGGGATTAATGCTTTTTGTCACTGTACCAATAAGAATATTTTTAAAAAATTTTTGATAGCCAGCGTCCCCACCCGCCCGTATCAGAAAAACGAAAATTGAAAATAAGTTCAAAAAAAATTCATAACTCGAACAATTTTCGACCAAATTCTTGTTTCTTGGTCGCAAATTAAAGAGGGATTAATGCTTCTTGTCACTGGACCAATAAGAATATGTTTAAAATATTTTTGATAGCCAGCGTCCCCACCCGCCCGTATCAGAAAAACGAAAATTGGAAATAAGTTCAAAAAAAATTCATAACTCGAACAATTTTCGACCAAATTCTTGTTTCTTGGTCGCAAATTAAAGAGGGATTAATGCTTTTTGTCACTGGACTAATGAGAATATGTTTAAAATATTTTTGATAGCCAGCGTCCCCACCCGCCCGTATCAGAAAAACGAAAATTGAAAAAAAAGTTTAAAAAAAATTTATAACTCGAAAAATTTAAGACTAAATTTTTATTTCTTGATCACAAATTAAAGGGGGATTAATGCTTTTTGTCACTGTACCAATAAGAATATTTTTAAAAAATTTTTGATAGCCAGCGTCCCCACCCGCCCGTATCAGAAAAACGAAAATTGGAAATAAGTTCAAAAAAAATTCATAACTCGAACAATTTTCGACCAAATTCTTGTTTCTTGGTCGCAAATTAAAGAGGGATTAATGCTTTTTGTCACTGGACTAATGAGAATATGTTTAAAATATTTTTGATAGCCAGCGTCCCCACCCGCCCGTATCAGAAAAACGAAAATTGAAAAAAAAGTTTAAAAAAAATTCATAACTCGAAAAATTTAAGACTAAATTTTTATTTCTTGATCACAAATTAAAGGGGGATTAATGCTTCTTGTCACTGGACCAATAAGAATATTTTTAAAAAATTTTTGATAGCCAGCGTCCCCACCCGCCCGTATCAGAAAAACGAAAATTGGAAATAAGTTCAAAAAAAATTCATAACTCGAACAATTTTCGACCAAATTCTTGTTTCTTGGTCGCAAATTAAAGAGGGATTAATGCTTCTTGTCACTGGACCAATAAGAATATTTTTAAAAAATTTTTGATAGCCAGCGTCCCCACCCGCCCGTATCAGAAAAACGAAAATTGAAAAAAAAGTTTAAAAAAAATTTATAACTCGAAAAATTTAAGACTAAATTTTTATTTCTTGATCACAAATTAAAGGGGGATTAATGCTCCTTTTCACTGGACCAATAGGAATTTTTTAAAACAATTTTTGATAGCCAGCGTCCCCACCCGCCCGTATCAGAAAAACGAAAATTGGAAAAAAAATCGAAAAATATTCATAACTTGAACAATTTTTGACTAATTTTTTGTTTCTTGGTCGCAAATTACAGAGGGATTAGTGCTTCTTTTTATTGGACTAATGAGAATTTTTTTTTAAAATTTTTCATAGTCAGCGTCCCTGTCCGCCCGTATCAGAAAAACGATGATTGGAAAAAAATCGAAAAAAAATTCATAACTCGAAAAATTTTAGACTAAATTTTTATTTCTTGGTCACAAATTAAAGGGGGATTATTGCTCCTTAAAATGTATTTTGCATTTATTAAGCTTTATTTTCGTCCAAGAACCATTTAATTTTGTTAATTCCTTAAAGAGATACTAGGTTTTGAACACATTTTCAGAAAAAGGTACACTGTGCGACGGAAGCGCGAACTACGAAAAACCAAATATGTTTATTGGAAAAATGTTTTATTATTTTTAATTATTAATTATTAGAAATTATTTAAAGCAAAAAAAATTTTTTTTTAACTTTTAGATACGTTTCATAAGTGCGTATTTTTTATAAAAACAATAGAGATTAAAATTCGTGGCGCATATTTAAAAAAAAGTTTTTTAACCTTCGTCTAAATATCGAAGTTTTAACCTTGAATATTCAAGTGTACGGTACGAATATATTAATAATGATATCAACATTGTAATTACTATTCGATTAAACAGGTGTTTATATCATTTCCGCAAGTTGAAAAATGCGTCAATAATTTAAAAAAATGATTTTTAATATTTGACAACTTTTTTAAATAAGTGCGTAATGACTCGACTCTGATAATAGTTTTTTTAAATTCTCTTACACTTGATTTAAAAACACCTTTTTCCTTTAGTTTAATTTTTAGTTCCTTTAGTTTAAAACTTCCGTTTAAAAAGATTCGATCTTCATCAGAGTAGTTAGTCCCTCATTTTTTTCATAGTTTTAATTTACTTTTCAATTTTTTATAAATGTTGAAATTTAATATTTAAAAAATTGCTGAAATAATATTTTAATTTTTTTATTTTCGACTAAAATGATTCGTTTTGTAATAATTTTATTGTTTTTTGCTTTAAATGTACAGTGTCAGGAGGTAAGATTTAAAAAAAATTTAATTTTCCATTATTTTTATCGTTATCTATTGTTTTTATATTTAAGTGTTAGTTACTTCAAAGATTATTACTGAATAATTTTTAATAAAACATCATTCTTTTGATAGAATACTCATTTCTTCACGAAAGAAGAAAACGAATTTCTCTTTCAATCAAATATTGGTAAATATTCAAAAATTATAATTTTATTCAATTCTCTTATTTTTTTACTTTAACTTTTTATTTTATTTCATTTTTTAAAATCATTTTTTTTAATGAACAAATATATTTCAGCTCCCGATTATGAAATCGTTGAAGTATCGCATAAAATTCAAAAAAGAAGTCTAGAAAAATATTACGGTCATGTTTTTTTAAATACTTTTAATAGGAATTTAACACTTTATTTAGAACCAATAGACAGTGTTTTATTTGGTGAAAAAACAGAAATTTGGAGTGCTAAACCAAATTCTAAATCAGCAGAAGGAGTTGGGTACAAAGTGATTTCCAATGTAAGTGTATAATCATCTTATAAAAATCCTAAGAATAACACGATAAGAGAATGAAAATTATTGAATTAATTACAAAGGAAACAAAATTTGTTTTCATATGGAAATTATTAAAAAAAAATTTTTGTTATTTTTAGTTCAAAAATCTAAATTTTCAAATGTTGCAAGATGTCACAAATATGGCAGCAATAGCTTTAGAGAAAGACGATAATGGAAATGTTGAATTGGTAAATTGAAAATTTTAAATACATAATTAAAATGAAAATCACAAATAGAAATATAATTAAAGCACTAAGTTAATATTTTAATAACTTATTAAAATTAATAATTTTAATAAATTAAATTTAAATTCCGTCTTTAAAGTACGGTCAAATCGGAGAGGATTTAGTCATACAACCCCTTCCAGAAAGAATTAAAACAATGTATAATGCAAGAAAAATACGACATCTGAGAGACACTTTTTACTATCAATCCTCGGTATGTACAATTGTATTTTTATTTTTGTAAAGAAAAAAATTTGACAATTTTGTATTAAATATTTAAAAAAATAATTTTTTAAAACAAATCCCTTCTTGCTTTTCAGGATAAAAATAATTTCTCTCAAAGTAATAATTATAAGAAACTGAAATATAATTTTAACAGTAACACAAGTCCGCATATTATTCACAAACTACCGCCTGTAAATTATAATGAAGGTATAAGGAATTATTTGCACTCAATTAAATATTAAGCTTGGGGGAAACTTACACTGTAAGCTTGCTGCAAATATATCCAAAATTACTTATTTCTATTATCATAAGAAAACTTAAAAAAAATTTTTAGCAAAAGGGTCAAGTAGACGTCAAAAGTCTTCTTGGGTTGAAACTGAACCGATAATTTCCACAATTAATACCGTCTATCCAGAAATTTTACTCATTATCGACAATGGATTATACAAGTAACTAAAAAGACTATTTATTATATTTTTAATATAATAAATATGTTTATGCTGTATGTTTATTAATTTTTGAATTTAAATATCAGATTTATTATTTTTATTATTTAAAACTTTTTAAATTCTATTTATTATTTTTTTTTAAATATTATTATTATTATGGTAATTTAAATTAAATTATTATTAATTTGAAGAATTTTTTTTATAAATTGTCTATAGTAAAATGTATCGAGATGTAGAAGCTATCAAGAAATACATTGCGACCTATTGGAGTGCAGTAGATTTAAGATACAGACAATTATCAAATCCAGCCGTGAGATTAAATATTGCTGCTGTTATTTTATCAACGGTAAGTATCCAGATTCTTTTTAAAATTTTCTTCTTTATATGTATTTTTTTCAAATTATGAAAAATTCAGAGTAAATAATTATATATTTTGATTAATTAGGGGAGACAGGAAGTGCCATTTATACAGAGTAGTATATACGATCGTATTAAAATTGATGCCGATAAGGTATTAATTGAAACTGGAAAATATTTATTGTCAAATAAAATATTTCGATTTCGTGACAATTTTGATTTGTCCTTAACAATGACAAGGTACATTTTTTAAAATTAATACATAATACCATTTCATGGAAATTGGCAATTATTTAAGAGAAATATGTCTAAAATTGTTTCTATGGAGAATATATTTTTATTTTAGTATTTAGTGATAATATTCAGAGGCTATTTTTTAGTTCAATTTATATTTAGTATAAAGTATTTATAAAGTATTTATATTTAGTATAAGTATTTTTTTACTTTTTATAGTCGCAACATGTGCACTATAGACACAAATGGCGATGACTGTTCTACGATGGGTATGCAAAATTATTCTAAAAATTAAATTTTTTTTTTTTGAGAATTTTTGAAGACGCAAATAAATACAAATTCACTAATATTTACGGAATAGGACAAAGAGGATAGTGGATTAATTTTGAAGATCTTGATGTTTAAATTCCTAGAAGAATTTGAAGGTTACAAATTTCAATAATGCTCCTTTACCACGGTGGCTTCATAATGATTCATAAAAGCAAACGCAGAAAAGAGTGGGGAGGTGGGAGCGAGAGAGAGAGGAGGCTAGTGGCGCGCGTCGCTTCCCCCACCGACTCGCCCTCTCCCACTCCGAGCGGTCCGGTTATATATAAGCCGCTCGCTCACGGATTCACCATTTCACCTGCTGTCTTCACTCGAGGCACATCTGAACTTTGCATTCATCTCAACTATTCAGGAACTGTTTCTTGTTTTTGCTTCTTTTCTTGCTCCTAAACTTTTTTTTATTTAATTAAGTATCGAAGAAATTAAAATAATTTTTCTAACGTTTTAAACCGCAAAACTATCCTCTTCAGAAACTATTATTTTGCATTTTTATAAGTATCTCAAAAATTACTCCACTGTCCTAACAAAATATATTTTAACTCGTGGCATGCAAAAATAATGTAATTTTTTTTTACTAAGTTAAGTTTTCGACTGTTTTTAAAAATAGGTATATATTTTTATAACTATTTCTAAAAATTGTAGAAAAATTTCGGACTATCGAATGCTAGATATCTTATAATTTTATACGATAGGTTACGCCTACGTTTCGAGCGCTTGTTCAGTAATAAAGTCTGAGGATAATTCATACAAAATGGTAGAGGGTGTAGGAATGGTTGAGGACAATGGGGGGTTTAAAGGAATTATGCTCGCTGCTCATGAACTCGGTCACATGTATGTACATACGCAATTACTAATTATTATTATATATCAAATGCATTCCAAATTATATAGTTTATTGAGATTATAAATTTTTACTTTCTTATTTTATAAATATTTCTATTTTTGTGTTATATTTATTATAATTTTTATAATTGTATTTTTATTTTTGTATTTTTATCTTTGAATTTTAGTATTTACAATTTTACCTCTTTAAAATTTTTTAGCTTGGGTGTGGAACACGATGAAGTTGGTAATTGCAAATATCGTTATGGCATTGAAGATGGTTACATTATGGAAAATCAACTCGCATTTTCTGACAATTCATTTGATTGGTCACCTTGCAGTCTGCGGAATTTCAGTATTTTCTTAAAGTATAAATATTCTCAAAATATAAAAAAAAATATAAACGATAATTTATATTTAAGTAATAAATTAATAAATAAATATAAACGATAATTTATTAATAATTAATTCATATTATAATTAATAAATATTAATTTATATTTATATAATTAGTAAAAATATGAATTAAAAAAGTCGATTTAACCAACAAAGAAAATGATTCTAAAATAAATTTTTTAGCCACGGTAATGCGACGTGCCTAAGAAATAAACCAATAATTGGTAATAAAATAAATAATTTTCTACCTGGACAACTTTACTCATTGGAACATCAATGTGAAAAACATTATCCAGGATCGAGACCATGCAAAGTAGATAAGATAATATTTTAAAAATTTGAGAGATGATTTCTTTTTGTATTCATATTAAATTAAAAAATGAATGTAAAATAATCATTTTTTTCTAGGAAGGGACATTTCTTCGGAATATTTGTTTGGAATTAAATTGTATTTTACCATTTACTAACGAGTGTGTAAGAACTGTACCTGCAGCGGAAGGATCACCTTGTGGTCTTAATTCAGTAAATATTTTTTTTTTAATTTTATTACTTCTGTATATAAATAAATATACTTCTATATATAAATAAATATATAAAATATATTCTAAATATAGATAAAATTATATTAGTTTTGTAAAATTTAAAATTTCTTTAATCTTTAAATACAAATTTTTAATATGTTAAATATATTTTTATTTTAGATTTGTCTTAATGGAAAATGCATATCGTCGTATGATGACTATTATCATTATAAAATTTTAGATGGATGATGAATTTCATAAAGTTTTTTATTGTTGTATTAATTATATGTAATTAATTGTACAATACTTTTATATAAAATTACGAAACAAATAAAAAAAAATAAAAATTTTCAAAAATTTTGAGTAAATTGTCTACGTTTTTCACATTTCAATGTAAATTTCATTAAAAGTACTGAAAAAGTTATGAAATTTTTAGTATTACCAGAAATATTTTGGTATTTGGTGTCAAAAAACATTTCTTAATAACTTTTTTCCTTTTAAAAACTTTTCAATTCTAATTCTGATTTTTCTTATTTTTGTAATCGAATTTATTTTTAATAATTAAATTCTAAAATAACTTTTTAAAAGTTATTAATTATATAATTATAATTTAGATAAGATTTTAGTGAAAGTTAATGTCAAAGTCGAATTCAAAGTAATAGTCAAGTTCAATTCAAAATCGATTCCAAAGTCAAATTATAAAATTTCAGTATCCTTGTTGAAATTTTCAGATATAATTTAAATTCATAAGGTTTTAAATTAAAATTTTTGAAAACATCAATTTCTGCTAACAAATTTATTCTATTCAATATTAATTTATTCAAACAAATAACTTAAGTTTTAAATAATATTATTTATAATTCAGAGAAAATTCTATTTCTGAGAAATTTTCATTCAATTTTTTAAAGATAGTTAATTTTTTAAAAAGTTTTAATAAATAATTTAATTAATTTTAATTTTTAAATTATAATTTTACAATTTTTTGAATTCTTAAATTAAATTGAAATTTTGTTAAAATGAAAATTGAGTTGAAACTAAAGTGAATAATGAATAGAAGAAAAAATTACTTTTTAAAATAATTAAATTTGTTAAAAAACTAATTATTTATTAATTATTATTACATGAATAAATAAAAAATTATTATTATTAACACTATTTTATACTATCGACCAGTTTTTAATATTTTTTTTTAATAATGATAACAATACAATATAAATTTTTCTAAAAAACAAGAAAAAGAGGAGGAATTAAAAAAAACAACAATTCAGAGTGTGAATTGCTTATAGTAAAAAAACAATAAGTTTGTTTGAAAATATTTTGTTCATCATATTTTGACGAATTTTGACATATTTCACGTTTACTATTGTAGTAATTTATAAAGTTTAAATTTCCATACGTCATTGTGTTAAAAATTTTCTAACATGCCATGATCTAAAATTTGTTTAATTGGTCCGCAATTTTTCATTTTTGTTCCGTAAAGTGGGTATTTTAAAAAACTATCACTGGTTCGAGCCCTGAAACTTATGGAATTATCAAAGTAGGAGATAGGATTAGAAAAGATTTGGATTAGTAGAAATAGCTCAGTTTTCGAAAGTTTTTGTGATCAGAGGGAAATGTTTTGAATCTTCCCGACTCAAGTTTGTTATAAACTATAAAGTATCTGTGTTTGAGGTTTTTAAGTCGTTGGGCGATTTACATTTGTTATATAGTGAATACGTAATGAAGACTTTTGGTCGTCGTCGTCGTCGTTGTCGTCGTGCATGGGAAATGGCATAGGAAGGAAGGAAGTGGAAAACTGGAATGCGGGATGTCGCATAGAGGGCTGGCCTGGAGGTGATAACTTCTGATTTACACTATTCCCTACCATGCCTTCCAACGGATTCTCATTTTCTCACCTATACATTCGCGCGCGTTTCGCGAGAAGAGGGCTTCTACTCCAATTAACTTTTAATGGCGTAGATAGGGAAACGTATGCCTGCCGAGGACCGCTGCTGGCACTCTCTTCTTCTTCTTCTTCTTCTCAACCATTTTCTTTCTCTTATTTCTCACCCTTTCTTCACCCCCTTCCCCCTCTCTCTTACTTTCCAAGCCCCCCCCACCATTGGACTATTCTCTCTTCTACTCTGAGCAAACATCCATTCCTCCTGCAATGTCCCCCAAACCCCTTTTTCCATCTTCAACCAAACCCATTCTCACAGACTCCCAACCAGAAAATCTCGAGAGACAGGAGCAACTTGTTAAGTAATTAAGTGTCGTTCTAAGTTTCCGTTTAATAATAATTTAGTAACGCTCGTGAACTTACGAAAGCATCGCGGGACCCGTCCATCATCAGACGATATTTCCGTTGATGATAATTACGAGTATTTAGTATCATTAGAGGACTTGATTTCTTGAAAGGGCATCAAATTTTAATTATCAAATTAAAAAAAAAAAAAATTATAATAAGATCTAAAGCGTTAATTATCAATCCTCCAACAAAGGAAGATTATCCTCCTGTGTTTGATTGGAGGATTGTTAATTAATCCTTTATACTGATCAGTAAAAAAAATATCATTATTTCTTCTTTAAACCGCATGAAAACTGTCAAACAAAAAAAGCGTTACACGTTCCTTAATTTTTTATATTCCAAAAATAATCAACAACACAGGGGTTCAATTTTTTGAAATCTCCATACATTGACTTGCTTCATAAATCGTTGGGGGTGTGGAGCGTGACAACCTTTCAGTCTTTTAAAGATATGCTATAAACACATGCAAATGGGTTCTTCTTCAAAAAAAAAAAAATAAAAAAAAAAGAGGAAGGCGAAATAAAAGGGATGAATATAATAGAAAGACAAGGAAGTGTCCGCGGAAGGAAAGCTAAATTATTAGAAGAGAAGAGAAACCCCATGGAAAATGAGTCAGACGAGGTGACATCTGCCGAGGGGTTCGTTGCGACGCGTCGTCGGAACATCCTTTACATTTTTATACTCGACCTTTCTAGTATAACACGTCGACTAACAGAGGCGAAGACACGGGAAAATGGATAATGTGTTCACGGAGGCGATACCGCGAATACAAAAAAGTAAATGTCAACATTGAAAAAAGAAAAACTTTTTTTTTTTATAGATTAAAGAAGAACTTTTTTTTTTGCTACAGCATTATTATCAATATTCTTTTGATCAACTTTGTTATTTTTATTACTATTTTTATATTTTATAATTATTATTTGTAACTTTATTTATATTTACTATTATCTTATTTGGGCTTAAACTGAAAATGAGACAATATATTAGGTCTTAAAATCTGTTTTTTTAATAAGAAATTTAGTCAATACTTGGACTAAATAAATATATAACATCAATCCTGACTATAAGGTTCAACCTTGACTACACTTTTTAAAAATGTTTATAAATTAAAAGTAAGGGGTCCAACCCTGACTGTCAGGCCCAACCTTGACTACATTTTTTAAAAATGTTTACAACTTAAAAGTAAGGGGTCCAACCCTGACTGTCAGGCCCAACCTTGACTACATTTTTTTTATTTGTTTTCAACTTAAAAGTAAGGGTCCAACCCTGACTATCAGGCCCAACCTTGACTAATGTAAGTTGTTGTAGTCAAAATCAGGCTTAAAAGAAGACTTATTTTTTACATTATATCTCAGGATGAAGGTAAAAATCCCCCTTTTTTTCCACGAATGAAAAGCGATCCTTCCTATTTCTTTCACTTTACATTTCCCTTATCTTATCAACGACACGATATGTATATATATTTTTTTGTGTAGAGAGAGAGAGAAAAATATATATTTATGTGTATATGTATATTTTTTTACGTATAAGTATGTATATATATGTATACGAACCTTACGCCTCGTTTCAAGCGATATTCTCAATTTTCATTTGCCGACAGATGCGTACGTGCGCGGTATTCGCGAGTGAGGCGCGGAAGGACGATAAGTCTCTGATAAAAAAAGGCAAGAAAAAAAAAAAAGGATCAGTGGGGTCGGCACGAGTTAAGAAAGTCGCGGGGCATGGCACGGCAGCGGTGCCAAAAGGTGTGGGTGTATGTATATGTGTAGAGTAGACTAAGCATCAGTTCGATGGGGCTGCACAGGGAACCAAAAGGGGCGAAAGTCGATCGTTTGTTAGAGAAATTCAATAATGCAACCGACGGCTGACAAGAGCACCACGACGACCCTTCTCCTCTTCTCAAAAGAGTGAGAAAGACGCTTATATATATAACAAAAAAAAAAAAAAAGAAAAAAAAAGGGAACGAGAACACCTTGTCATCGTTTATCAATCTGTTATTTCTTGTACATAAAAAAAATAAGTATGTGTAGGGCTCGAATCAGTGAAAGTATTTAAAGTTATACGGACTTTACGGAGCAAAAATGAAAAATTGCCGACCAATTATTACTGACAAAAATATAAACAAACCCGAGGCAAATGAAAAAACATTTTACTTAAAATTATAAATTAAATTTGATCCAATTTAGTATATAGAATTTCAAGTTAGATACTATCAAGAATCTGTAAAATCTGATGATTAGAATCTGGAAAATACAGCCAGAATGATTAGAATTATGAAAATTTATTGGCAGGTGGTGAAATTTAGGTTGTTCTTTTTCTATTTTGAGGGAACTGGATGTATGTGCTTGGTTGGGTCTGGCATATAGAGTTAGCTGATGATGCCCATAACCAAAGGCGAACACGAGGTGGATATATTTCAAGAGAATGTCTGATTACAATGCTGCCAACGGAATATGCCACTCTTTTTTTTCCACCTCCTCCTCATCCTCCACCTCCTTCTTCTTATTCTTCTTCTTCTTCTTCTTCTGCAAATGATGGACGGGAATGCCACATACAATATTCAGTGCACTCTCTCGCTACTCGATTCCGCGAGTCAGCTTTACCAAGTAACCATCCCCCTTTTCATTCTCTACTCTACAGTATAAAAGCACTACTAACGTCAAGATTATGGACTGAAGAATCTGCCCGTAATAGCCATTTTATCATCCACTTAT